TAAAAGCTAGGATGGTGGTGTACAGTTCAGAAGTTTGTATATAGTTAGGTTTAATTTTCAAAAACAGATCAGGAATAATTTCCAGTGATCTTTAAGTCTGAATACCGAGCATATTTCTCACTACTGTGTATGTACAGATACATTAGGGAAAGGAATACTAAAGTATTGATACTTCTGACATCATTTTGAAGTTTTGAGGGAAGACGGATTTTCATGTGAGTTTATTCTTCTCCTCATCCAGTTCAAGGCATATTACTTGATTTCATTATGTTTGGATTTCACAGCCAGGAGCATCTGTGGGCCTCTTCTGCCTTTGAGTAGATGCTCAGCTATCTCAGTATGGGGCCGCTAATGAATGTGAATTGTCGTCTTCAGAATAGCTGAGGTAAAAATGAAAGCAGCTTTTTAAAAATGGAAATAATATAATACGTGTCTAACCTCTGTCCTGAATAGAAAAAAGCAGAACTGTCCTGGCTACGGTTCCGGTGCTCCCATAGAAACCCTCCTGTCCTTCATCTCCCCCTCCCTTCCAAAAAAAGAGGGCTATTTGAAGTTGCATTTTTAGCAGAGCTTTGTGTAAGAATGACTGCCGCTTTCTGTGCCACCAAAGGTAAAACCAAACAACTTTTGCACCACTGTTCTTTCCTCTCAGCACGCACCCTTCACCTCTTTTTACAGAGCTGGTTGGCGGCTACAGACATTCCCAGGTTCCCTTGTTTCCAAATGTACCAGCTCAGTCTTTGAATGAACCATGTAACTGGGTAGTGCTTCCCACTGATCGCAGGCAGAACAAAAACCTAACAGTTGCTTACTTCGTGCTTAACCCCAGAGGCGAGCCACAAGGATACGAAACCACTCTGCTGCTCCAGGACATGGAGAGGTTGTGGTCTGTGTGTAAATGACTGAGGAACAGAGAAATGAAGGCTTGCAAACTTCTGCTAGTTTAATGCCAGTGATAGATTTAGAGCAGAGTAAAACCCAACACAGTGGTAAAACCTCCCTTCGCGTCAGAGGAAGAGATGTTTGGGTGAAGAGAGAAGATTCATGGCACAATTCCTGGTCCTGGATCCAAGGCAAATGCTAACAGTTCAAAATGAGGAAAGACCAGTGCATTTTAGCAGTAGTTATGGCCGTTAATTATTTCACCCATCCCACAGTAATCAGAACTGCAGGTATTTCTGAGGAGCGATAAGCCTTGTAATGTATTTTAAGAAGCAGCACTCCTAAAAGACGCCTGTTAGCAGAACCGAAGGAATGCCTTCAGTCTTGAGTAGAACCTGGGAAGAGTTGTTGGCACCCACATCACCACCTCAGAGGCCAGGACAATCCTGAGACTCTTCATTTAAATATTAGGCCTTCTGTGTTGCAGGAGATTGCAATAAATAACAGTTATTGAGGACATTGGAAATATATTTTTTCAGACAATGTGCTTCCGAATATGGGAAATGGCACACTGCATGCAGTAGAGGAGACTTTGCCTCAGGAAGCAAAATGTCTTAGGCCAGTCTAGGTCTCTCTGTGTGAATTCTCGAGAGGGAAAGACACCTTTATTGCTGCCATTTATGCTCATCCTTCCCCCACATTTCCTCCTGGAGGAAAGATGGCACTGTGTCAACTGTGATATCCCTTATTTATCCCTATACTTCCTAACCTGAGATTAAGCACCATATAATTTAATTGAATTTCTGAGTAGACCTGTGCAGGGATATTCTGTCAGTTGTGTTCATTTCCAGTTCTGACATTAAGAATTACCCAGCTATTGCAGGATGAAGTGAAGCCATTGTCAGATCAATCTATCTTTAAACATTGTATTGAACCAGTAGTGAGCTTTGATCTAGTGTTCATTGTCATTCTTTTATCCTTCTCATAACAGAGGCGATGTCAGATATGTGGCTTATGTGTAACATGGCTAAAATATGTGTCGCTTTTACCCAGCATGGCCTGCGAGCTCTCTCATGTGTACCTTTAACACGGGAGGTGATTCATGTGGGGTGAGATTTAGTGGCATGAATATTTTTTCCATGTGATGGTTGGTACAATGAAATTTAGGAAAACAAATCTTAATGATATTTATAGTTTTCTATGGTCATGCTTGCCCTTGTTGTGTCAACTGTAGAGATGGGCATAAACTGCCAGTCTGGCTGTTTGTTTTTTGATCAAATACAGTGGTGCCTCACTAGACAGTTACCCCGCATGACAGTCTTTTTGCTAGACATTGGCTTTTTGTGATCTCTATAGCAAAACAGTGATTCCTATGGGGGAATTTTGCTGGACAATGTTTGTTCCCTGCTTCGCAAACCGATTTCTGCTAGACGACGATTTTGACAACTCCCTCTGCCTTTGCAAAGAGGTGTTTTCAGGGCCTAAGCTTCGCAAGACAGCAATTTAAACAGCTGATCAGCGGTTCGCAAAGTGGCTTTCCTATGGCCGATCTTCGCTAGACAACGATTCTTCCCCATTGGAAAGTATTAAACAGGTTTCAATGCATTCCAATGGGGAAATGCTTTTCGCTAGACAACGAGTTTGCTAAACAGCGATTTCAGTGGAACGGATTATCATCGTCTAGTGAGGCACAACTGTAGGTGTGTGGGGCTTCCCAGCTCTGCATTCTCCAGAGGGCGCCCACTCAGAGGCAGTGCCCCAGCTTGCCTGTGTCTGCCAACCAGAGGAGGCAGGACCAGGAAGCGCCAAACACCTTTTTGGCCAAAGAACGATCTGGCATGAACCAATGAACTGGTGGTTTGTGATAATCTTTAGTCACATGTATAATGTATACACAATGACCAGTGGTCTGAATGATCAAATGCATATGAGATTGTGAAGCTTTTTGTTTTGTAAAAAACCAACAACCCAGGATCTTTAAATACTTTGACTGGCCTCTTTTTGTCCTGCTTTTCTGTCATTGTCCACTAAATGGTCAAGGCTTTTGAAGATATATAAAAAATTTAACACAGCCTGGTAATTGCTACCTCATTCTGGATATAATGTAACAGCAGGTAACAAAACAGAAATAACGTAAGAGCAGATTGCACGCTTCCCTGCACTTCAAAAATGAGATGTATATTTCTTGCACTGTTTGAAGTGCAGGAAAATTAACTTCACATTTCTTCCCTTAAATTCTGGTTAGGTCTGTGTTAGAATTAAAAACAGCAAGTGCTTCTTCAAAACAAGATTTTAAACTTCTGGTTAGTGAAAATGTGTCCATCCAGTTCCACTCCACAAAAAAAGGGCAAAGAAGAAAAAAATGAACTAGAGACGGGCATGGATCACACTTTGGTGGTTTGCCCCACTTTGGTGCGGTGCCCGCCCAGATGTTCTGTGGGCTCCGCATGCTTCCCTCCTCCACCTTCTCTAGCAATTACCCTGTCATGGGCTGCAGAGCAGGCTTCCCTGCCCTGTCCCCTTGTCTGGTGGGCAATCGCCCAGCACTGGCTCGGAGGAAAGCGCAGAATGCCCATGGGACCCCTGTGCAGGTACGACGCTGAACTGCCAAAGGGCAGTTCGTGCCCATCCCTTAAAATGAACCAATAGTTGGTTTAATCCTCAGGAAATATAGATTTGATTAACTTTTTATGGAGAGGTTACTCTAGGCTAGGATTAAGCTCCGTTTCCATCAGGAACAGAAGTTAGACCACAATTCTCCAAAGATCAACAGAGCTAGTTTGTGTTTTCCTGTGTACTAGCAAAAAAAAAAAGTTGCGAGCTGGAGTTAAAGGGGGGGTGTAATTATATCAAGCTATTAATATTAAGTGTGTGCTGTCAAGTCAACTCTGACTTATGGCAACCCTTTCCAGGGTTTTCTAGGTAGGGAGTACTCAGAAGTTGTTTATCTTTCCCTTCTTCTGGGGGCATCCTGAGACTGGACACCTTGTCCAAGGCCGTACAGGATGGCTCTTCTGGGAGGCACAGTTGAGGAATTGAACTCAGAACCTCTAGCTCCACAGCCAGGTACCTAACTCACTGAGTTATCAGGTCAGCTTAATAACTGTGAGCCATCAAATTAATTCTGACTGATGGTGATTGTTTCCATGGTTTTCTGGGTAGAGAATACTCAGAAGTGGTTTACCATTGCCTTCCTCTGGAGACACCAGTTTGACCATAGCTATACAGGCATTACATAGCCTGGGAGGATGATTTTTTTAAAAAAATTCCAAATCATATAAAGCAGAAATGTATATAAATCTGACTCAAATGAGGAAGCTATCTTAGTTTAAAGTTCTCAGGAAAAAGAAGGAAAACAAAATGTTTTGTATTATTAAAAAAATAGACTACGGGCTGGTATGGAAGAAGACAAAAAGTCTCTTCATGTGCAAATACCAGTTGGTGGTTTGATTTTGATATATGAAAGCATAGTTACATAATTACATGCCTGTTCCTTTCTCCCCATTCCTCCTCTGGTGCTGTTATGAGGAGACTGATTACTTGAAAATAGAAGTAGATACTTCCAAAATATGTCATGTTGTCCAAGTTGGAGCTGCAATTAGTCCTGACCATCTGAACAAACCAAGATCATAACCCATTGTTTGAAGATGATTTATTTGGTTAGTTACAGTTGTTTATGGTTGGCTGGATTCAGACATAATGAATGACAGCTTCTGGAAATAGGTAGCAAATGTTTCAGATCTCCTCTTTTCAGTTGCACCAGAGGAGAAGAGGGTGAGAGGGGGCACAATAGTCTTAGATTTGTACACATAGCACTGTAGTATCTAATGCCTCTACCAAACTGTGTTTGGTTATATGGGAAACAGTGTAACAGTATCATTGGTTTTTTGAAAGCAAACAATCTGTTTTCTGATGCTGGCATGACAGTTTGTCAGTCATTTCCTAAAGGATTACGTTAACCTGTATTTGTTTTTGTCTGAAAGGTTATTGAGATGACTAATTACTAATGAACAATAAATTATTCTTTCTCCCCCACTCCCACTGTCTGTAAAATATTTCCAGCCTGATGGTTTGGCCATAAGAAACAATAAGACCATTTATATTTATTAAATGTGCAATATTTTATTGAGAACTTCATAAGGTGCATGGCATATTTGATTTAATTTAATTCATATTAACATTAATTAATGCATTCGTATTTAAATAGGACTTTTACATCTGTGTTTAGTTGCTGTCAGGGCAATTCTCAAAAGGTCCTGCCTGTCATCACCCAGGGTCACGATGCCAACGTTTTCTCAGACTCAGACAAAGTGGTTCTGGCTTCTATCAGAAAAGAAATAAAAATCTTCAGTGTATTGCAGATCATTTCCCAAGCAAACTCATACATTGCTACAGTCACAAGCACTTCTATGAAATAAATTATGACATGCCCACCTTGAATGAGAAAACCTGAATAAATCCAAATGATGGGGTGAATAAGTGTGGAATATTTCAATGGTACAGGAATCTAATTTTCATTATAGTAGGACCGCGATATCCAAGGGTTCAGTTCCAAGCCCCCCCCTCCATGAAAGTCAAAAAGCATGGGTGCAGAAACACTATATATACCATAGCCTCTGTTTCCTTCCAGTGGCCAGTTCTGGTAATACAGTGTGGGAACCCATATTTTGTGAGTGTGTGTGTGTGTGTGTGTTTGTTTGTTTGTTTGTTATTTAATATTTCCAGGCAGTGGATAAATGAAACTGCAGGTACTGATTCTGCAGATATGGTAATCCTACTGTACTATATCTATAACTGGAAGGAGTACTTATTGCTCAACCTTTCCACAACATCATTGGGATATTAGCCCATAGTGCAGGTGCCCATCCAAACATGGCCATATCTAGTCATTCAATTGGTTTAGGATGGTGGCTCTGATTTTGTTGGGGTATGCATCCATTCCAAACTTCAAAGGAGTTGTCCAAGTTGCTGGACCCCCAACAGGTTCAGCAATACCCCAGTGAAATTAGAATTACCACTCTGCACTGTATTCAGTCACAGTTGTATTGATCCCGTGGGAAAGCTTGTACTTTCCACGAAAAGAAAATGTAAGACGCATCTGGATGCAATAACACTCATTCAGAACCGGAAACAGATGACATTCAAATTTGAAATTAGAGGGGCAGGATGCTAAGAAACAAAGTTTGGAAGCAATGAGCCATTGGGAGCCAAGCCCAATTCATCGCCAAACCCTTGGGTCACACTGGAACTAGTACTCTTTGCTCCCTGACAGTATCTCTTGTCATTGTCACTATGGAGTATAGGGAAAAGGTTGTAATGCATCTTGGGTCAATCCCTTTAAGCAGTAATGTATGGGCTGAGATTCATAGTACATTATGACTTTTACCATGTTTTTTGCAGAGGTACTCTCCAAAGAGACGAAAGAGGTGAGTTTGTCATGGTACATCATTTCCCTCATTGATGAAATATGTTGCAGGTGGCAGACTTTGTGATGTGATTCACAATTAGAAAGTAAACTTTAGCTTAATTTTCGAATCTGATTGGTGAGGCATGTACGAGGGAAAACAGATTAATCGTGGAGAACATTCATTCCCCTTCATTTTCCAGTTTGACCTTGAGCTGATCCAGTTTGTGATTTCCCCCTCTTTAAAATGAAAGCACGAGTCCCCATCAGGAATTTGCGACTAATTAATGCTTTCAAACATTCTACGCTACAGGTTGTTCTGAAGAAAGTTTCAAAAATCATCCTATGATGACATTGTGATGGCCAGAGTAACTTCTTCAAAGGAACATTTGCCATCTATGGCTGATACAATTTCCATGTTTCACTGACCTGCAGCACAGCTGCCTGTTAAACTCCAGGATTTGAAAAAATCCATGTCACTTAATGCCAGTTTTCGATTGGGCATCTGACGTTCATTTCTTTGTTCTCCATTGTTGTCTCCACAAAGTCCACAGGTATTGCCTTTCATCATTGAAGTGACTGTAACCTGAATGGATAAGGGATTCTTGCTGTAGACGGTCATTGTATTTTTTTTTTTACAATGCAATACATCAAAGGAAAGAAGCAGGAAATTTCAGCACAAAAGCAGCAAGCTGGTGGGCTTACCCTCAGCAGGGAGCCATCATATGTTACATTTGCTAGTCCATGTTGTGGAGCCTCAATGACAACAGTGGTCTCGTTTCGGTAAATCTTGATGCTCGCTGTGAAGAGATGGGGTATTTGAGAACAGCTTGCCTACTCCTTGAGCAAAAATACTTATTGACAGCATGCCTATCTTTCCACCCACCCAGACAGAAAGACATCATCTGTGTATACTTTTGATAACCCATGGTTTGAATGGAGGAACCTCCCGCTTGTACTGTACTATGCATATGTCTCATATGAATCTTTCTGGTCCTTGAGATCTGCTTGAAAGGCCGTTCTCTTTGTGCCATTGACATCTCAGGGACAGTTGACATGGACCCAAAAGAGGACCTTCTCTGTGGCTGCTCTCAAGTTGTGGAATGCTTTCCCTCAGGAGAATGCCCCCCTCTCCTTTTTTGTCTTTTTGTTCAGCAGTTTGGCGGTTCAGTGTGGTTTGTGGGCAGCTTGGCTCTATAGCTGTTCTATGGGCATATTGGCTCCCCTTGCCCTTCCTCCTCTGGTGGGCACCTACTCAAAGGCAGCACCCAGAGGAGGCAGGGCTGGGAAGCCACACTGCTGCCTTTGAATGGGTGTCCATCAGAAGAGGCAAAACAAGGGAAGCCGAGGTGCCCATGGAACAGCTGTGCAGCCAAACAAACTGTGCCGAACTACTGAACCTCAGTTTGTGCCCATCTCTAGTTTTAAATGTTTTCTATTACTTAATGGATTTTGAATTATAAATATAATTCAGTTTTTCAAAAATCTTTATTTTGTTTTTATTATTATTTATTTTAACATTGTAAGCAACATTGGATTCCCTCACTGGGAGAAAAGCAGCCTACAAATGGTACAAAATAAAATAAAATATTTTCATACTACTGCTAAAATATTGGATACCGCAAAATAAAATAAAATACAAATACTTTCATACTACTGCTAAAATATTGGATACCATCCAATTTTGGAAACTTATCTGGGATTATGACCATTAAAAAAGTTTAGGTGGAGACAAGAAACCTGTCTAAAACCTTGGAGAGCTTCAGCTAGCCAATGCTGAGCTACAAGGGTTATAACTCAGCGTATAGCAGCTTCTTCTGTTCTTGTCTAGAGCCTGGGGTCAGAGATGCAAAATCACCTTTTTTCTGGCCACTATGAACATAAAACCTGTTTTTATATATAAACATGAAAAGAAAGTGGCTAGAGCACTTGGGCTAAAGGTTTGCTCAGGTGTCCTCAAATCTATTGTGTTTAAGAAAGATGTGATACCTTTGACATCCACAAATAGCGATGTATCTGCAAGCACCGCTTGTTCGTTGTATAATACAAGAAGTGTGTCCAAGGAAGGTAAGATTTTGATCCAGCTTTGAGAGACAGGGATGGGGAGAAAAAAAGCAACGTTTTGTTAGAATGGGGGAAAAACAAAGCAGAAACCCAAGATTTAATGTATATATTTACCATGTAACTGGACACTGTTTTGTCATAGTTTTTAGTTAGAAAGTCTGGAAGTGTAACAGAAGTGAAAGGTTGAAGTGTGACACTGGAAATCCGAAGCACTAACTACATGGTGCAGGTCTGATGCTGTTCAAATGATAGCAGAGTGATTGCACATCATCCAGCCTAGATTCTGTGGCTCATTACTGTGCATTATTGTGCGGCCAGTGGAGCTTTGTTAGTGTGGATGCACCACTAGAGGAGGAGAGATACACAACGCACAGGCCACGCCAAGTGAGAAAGCAAATCCAGAGTTTTAACATAGTTGCCACTACTCCAGTTACATGATTGTGCCCTTTCAAAAGCAATATTAATAACCTTCATTCATCTAGTTTTGATCTATGGAAATGGTCTAGCTCTAGCACAAAAAGGAAGTCACAGTGAATATACAATGATTAACAGGCCACTCCATATGGCCCTTGTCATGATTGGCATGCAACAATGGATTTGTTATATTTGCATCCTGCCCTTCTTCTAAGAGATCCAGAAGGGTGATAAAATCACAAAAGAGCATCATGTGGTAGGCTAGGCTGAGTGGCAATCATTTGATGAGATTAGAGATGGGGAACCTTTAGTCCTTCAGGTATTCCAGTTCCAATCATTCTAACCAGCAAAGGTTTATCTACCCCTTTGTAGGCCACTTGCTCAGTATTATAGATGAGCTGGGATCTGAATACTGGATTCTGACACAAAAACTTTTTTTCTTTATTCGCTGCAATCCCAGAATTGTTTCAGAGATTGAACATCTTTCTCTGGGTCATAATTGGATTGATATGTTTCTCTCTGTGCATGAGATCTATGAATCTTCATTTCTCACCGAGGACCAGAAGTGGAAAATATGATGAACAGCCTTACAATAATCAATGCCAGAAGAGATTATTAAAAAGAGCTTGGTTCAGAGACAACAGCAAAGCTTTGTATTATTTTAAAAGCAGCCTAAGTAACATAATGGATATAAAATTTCTCATTTTCAACAGAACAGTGTTTCCATTTGGTAAAACTTACACATTAGTTAAATTAAGTAGAATCTCTCTTGAATGTCCATCAGACTTTCTTGTCCATAAACGGAATTGTGGATGATAATTTGCTTTTTTATTGCAGTCTTGGACAACAAGTAGGTCACAGTCCTGATTTCTGAGAGTAGTGTTGAACACCTTATCGTCGAATGTTACAATTGTGTCTTCACCCACCTCACATACCGCTGATAAGACAGGAAATATGATTTGTGTCAGATTCAATAGTGAACATAGATAGTGAAAATTACGTAGTGGTTAATATGGTGAAGGTTAATATTTTTTACACACACACACACACATTATATATATAACATAGAATATATATATCTCCCCTTTGGATTCAGGTTCCATTCCTTCCAATTGGTGAGATCTATGAATTTTCTTTTGAAAAGAAAGGGCTGTTGTAAGTCAGAGGTAGACAAAAGCTCATATAGCTGGATAATTGGCGTTAAATGAGTATTCGTTTACCTTGATCACCTTGGGCTATCCAAGAAGCTAAATCTAGGATGTTCAAGGTGTTTGGCAGTGACTTCTCATAATAAGGGACTGTGAAGTTTGGTAAAACAAACGGAGCACAGAAAGCATCCTTGTAAAAGGTTTCCTAGAGCAGAAATAATGAACAGATTAGGATCCATATGGCTAATACATAAAATGTTATATCCATTAAGCTTGCATCTTGAATCAACATTTAAGCAGAAATACAAAAGCATGCCTATTTTTCAAATTTCCCTAACTCACCACTTTAGCTATTGAGCTGTGAGAATTACATCTAAATGCAAGAACCAGACCCTCCAGCACAGAGAGAAATTGCATTCCTTTCCAGAAAGCCAGCAACAGCCCCTCAACATCATTGTGCAGGGGCTAAGGTGGGATTGGGAACATACTAGCCACAAAGTATCTCACAGTACTTAGACTGCAAAACAGATAGCAGGGCATCTGTGAGTATGACAAGATAAACTTCAGACAGCCTGGTCACTCAGGGTGATCCTGTTCACTTTCCTCACTGTGTCATCCGTACTTTCTGAAACAGTGGATGCGGAGAAATTTGTTTGGAGGGATGGTATTGAAATCCAATCCTAGAATCCTGTATATTGCTTTAGATCTTAATGACGGGATATGCTGAACTCCCTGTCCAGTCAAAGCTCAGCAATGCAGGATGTCACAACCATATCCCTTTGATCAAAGGCCATACAGCCTTTGATCAAAATAAAGGTATACCCCTCCCCTGACTGTTCCACTACTGAATAACAATCACTGTTAAGGCGTTTTCCCTAAAGTTTTTCCCTAGATCTGCCTCTCTGCAGTTTCTGCTCATTGGCTGAAATCCTGTTCCTTGGCACAACAAAAGATATAACTTTCACTCCTTCTTAGCCAACACGTAAAGAGTTCTCATCTTTTTCCTGGTACTGAACAGAAGAATTAATACCACAAAAAAAAAAGACTGTGTCAGACTGTGACATATTTCTAAACAGTCCCTCAAAAGGAAAAGGAGTAATACGCTCCGTCCTCCCTGAAAAAACAAACAAACAGCAAATGGTATAGAAAGCCAGGGAATCCTCCACTATTTGCTGTCAAAGAAGATAATGGAAGCCAAAAAGAACTGTAAACTCATACAGAAAAATATTCGAAATCAGGTCAGAACTGGTAATTCAGGACAGAGTCTATGGCTAGAATCTTATTAGCAATCCTGGAACTAAACTTCTCTGCAAGAGTAGTGCTCTATGGTTGCTCTGTTAAAAATTAAAGGACTTGTGCTTGTTCAAGGGGGTAGTCAATACCCTCCTGTACAATTGGTATAAAAAGACAATAATGCACACAAGGAGCTGTTGACTGAACAGTAAAAACAAGAGAAGATCTTGGCTTATCCTCTTTATATTCCCATACTGTACTCAGTGCTTCACCCTTGCACCACTAGGAGTGCAGCACGGTCAATGCTTGGGTCATTTATTGTGCAATCGATCTCGCGAAGCAAGAAGACAAACCATACTAATTCTTTGAGAATAGAGACATTAAAGCACATACCCCAGGAACTTTAAAGATCACAGCATGTGTATATGGAGATGTTGCAATTATTCTCAGTGTCAGCTTATGGGAAGAATTCTCCTCATAAACTGATGAAAAGCCGGAAACATAGGCAACACCATGAAGGAAGCCCATATACCTTGATAAAATGGAGACAGAGAAAGTAGGATTCAGTTGGAGTCTTTCGAACTAACAAACATACAAACAAATTTGCAGCAATTAGCATAAGAATAAATATACGGGTGGTTATACCAAGAAGCACGTTTCACTATGAAGCCTGGGAGCTTTGACCACGTCAGGTTCATCTGGAGAGCTGCATGTTTCATAACTTGTCCTAGTTCAGCCTTTAGTTCAATTTTGTAGTCCTGGCATTTATTGCCCCAGCTCAACTTGTTCTTTGGAAGGAAAGAAAACAAATACTTTCTTACCAAATGAATAAAATCTAGGTCTGTATCCAACAGGGTCATTATGCTAGCACAAGGTCTAGTGGCTATGGATTTATAGAGTGAGCCAAGAGTAGTTTTCAGTTGTACAACCAGCTGTGCAAGAGATCATGTATCCACATTGTGTCCTTTTAAGGAGAAAGGTGAGGTTAAAAAAATATTTTAAACAAATATATGCTGACTAAAATTCCGTTATTTAGTGTAGTAAATTACACTAGAGTAGACTAGTTGATTAAGTGGGGCCTACTCTAACTGCGACTTATGCTGCAGTAAGTCACAGATAGAGTAGGGTCATTTGAATCAATGAAACGTAGGTGGGAGGTGATTCACTAAATCCCTATTGATTCAGTGGGCTTACTCCAGTGTGATTTACTATGCCACGCCACAGAATTTGGGCCACTGTATCTTAACACTTCCATTGATGGAACTGGATTACGTGGGGCCTACTCTAACTGTGACTTATGCTGCAGTAAGTCACAGATAGAGTAGGGTCATTTGAATCAATGAAACGTAGGTGGGAGGTGATTCACTAAATCCCTATTGATTCAGTGGGCTTACTCCAGTGTGATTTACTATGCCACGCCACAGAATTTGGGCCACTGTATCTTAACACTTCCATTGATGGAACTGCAAAATCCAGTTCAATTATGGTTTCCTTTGGTCAGTAGAGAACAGATGATATAGCCCTTAATTGTCAGTTTCATTGATCTTATAACACAATATCTTCATTGTATTGCGGGATTTTGAAACTTTTAGTTACAGGCCATATGTTTCTAATCTATATAACTTTTACCTATTCTGTAAATTTTTTAGCTGCCCTAAACTGATGGCATCTTTAAATAATTTCTAGCTCTCTTTGAAATGTAATTGTTGACTAGAGATGGGCACAAATCAAAAAATCAATTACCAAATTCATTCAAAAAATAGCTAATTCCTTGATTCGTATTCATATGAATTAATGCTCCAACAAATACAAATAGATGAATTTTTAGCAATTTTTGATTCATTGATTTGTTTAGCCATAAAATGCCCTTATTTCTTATTTTATCTCACACAGCTTCTGTAGTATATCTCTGTCCAATTACTGTTATTTTTATTTTTAGCTTATGCTTAGTTTCATCATTGTTCTGGCACCTTTTGTTTTCACGTGGCAGTTTGTTATACAGTTTTATTATATTATTTTATTTTGATTGTGTATTTCACTGTGAACTGCACAGAGTAGTGACATAGCACCAATGGGAGCAGTGTATAAATTCATGTAACAGTGGTGCCTCACATAGCGATCGCTCTGTATAGCGACGAAACCGCTTTGCGATGGACTTTTTGACATCGCAAAAGTGATTGCTTTGCGATGGTCCCTATGGGGGAAATTTGCTTTGTGATGATCGCAGAGAAGCGATCATCGCAAAGCCCCCATTTTCGGCCAGCTGATCGGCGGTTTCAAAATGGCCACCAGGTAGACAAAATGGCCGCCCGCTGTTTTCAGGCACGCATACCTCGCTTTAGAGGCACCGAAAATGGCGGCGCTATGGAGGATCTTCGCTGGACGGTGAGTTTCAAGCCCATAGGAATGTATTAATCGGGTTTTAATGCGTTTCTATGGCCTTTTTTATTTCGTGCTACGACGTTTTCGTTCTACAGCGATTTTGCTGGAACGAATTAACGTCGTAATGTGAGGCACCTGTAATAAATAATAAATAAATAAACAGCAGCTCTACTGGCTTAGAAAACCTTTAGTCTGGAGTAATATATACCTCACTACTAATTAGGGATCCTTCCGTCGTTTCTCTGAGGCGTGTAATGCTTTGTTATGTTATTTAGCGCATGTTTTAAAAAATGTGTTTTTGAACTCTTTTATTCTATTTTAATATTTAATTCAGGGCAGCTTTGGATGCTTTACTGAAGAGCAGCTCTCAAGTCTCAAAATCAGTTAATGGCAAATGAAAGACAGTATGTTTACCCAGACTTTGAATGGTGTCAGAATTCTTTCGAAACATGCTTTCCACTTCGGTCTGGCAAGCTCAGTTGCAATCATTTTGAGATGGAGTTTGGAGATATCGTGGTTCATGTACATGGAGAAGTTGTAGCCCTGAAGTTTCTTGTCTGTCCTAAGTGCCTCAGCTACAATAGTGAAATAAGGCAGGAATGTCTGTCCTTGGGTTTGAATCTGAGAAAAACAAGCAGATAGAAGGACATTGTTTTAATCCATATGATAATCAGTTGTTTTCATCAACAGAACTTTCCTGCAAGATTTGTGCAAGAACTAACTCACTGATGTAGCTCGCTTAGAAAGGCCACGTAGTAAGACACCTATTTGGTAATCTACTAGGACCACTAGTGACAGAGCTCTGTAAGAGCTTTTGCATATGCAACATGAGCACATTAGATCTTCCAATGAACCACTGATCTTGGAATTGATCTGTTGGTTACTATGGATAACAAATCTTTCGATAAGTGGTCATGACTACTAGTTTCCAGGCAGTTATGGATTTAAAATACTTAGATGCCCAGGCTAGATAGGAAATTGTTTGCATTTGTGCAAATATCAACACAATTCTTTGGTCCAATTCATCCCTGTGACGGGGTGTTTCTGCTGAATGCTGCATAACTGTGTAGAATATCAGTTATTGAGTGCCAGTTAATGAGAAAGGGGTGGACTCAGGGGAACTCGTGGCTGTTCTCCTCTGTGGATCTCTGTATTTCTACTGGGTAGCAAAAAGAGTTTTGCCAGAAATTAAAAACTTTGCAACAAAATACAGTGGAAGATGTACTTTTGAAAACTACCTCAGTATTTACATGAGCCTATTTGGTCTTCAGATCAAATAGGCTACCTGAAGCAGAAAACTGTGAAGGGAGTATTTGGCAATGTATAAATGAAACTGGACCCATGTCATTCCTGTGACACATGCATTCTGAAAACGTGAGAATATATGAGGTACACATTTGATCGAATCTTCTAAATATCCAGTATGAACATGGGGTTGAAGAGCCAGTTTGTTTCTGAAAAGGTTTGCCCCTAGCTTAAATCCACCACTCAGTTAGTGCTCAAGTAATTTATCCTGCTCCTCTCTGACCTCCCCTTACGTCAGGTTGCAGAAGAAAACTACCCATCCCCAGTTCCACTGGTGGAACCACCTCATTGGATCCTGGCTTATGGACTTGACAGTTAAACATAATTAGGAACTGCCAAGTACAAATAATACTATTTATTTATTTATTTATTCAATTTTTATTTAAACATAATTAGGAACTGCCAAGGACAAATAATACAACTGCCCTTTATGTAGAAATTAATATTCTGGCTGATGTGACAATCAAACTTGTAAACTCAAGAGGTTCCATTCCATGATTCTGCCTATTTCTGTAACATTTTATTTATTTTTATTGCATTAAATTTCTGCATGTACCTCCTGTGACCATCTTGAATCGCTGCTGCTGCTGCTGCTGCTGCTGCTGCTGCTGCTGCTACTGGAATGGTGGTGGTGGCGGCGGCTGCTGCTGCTACTACTGGAATGGCTGCTGCTGCTAGAGCTGCCTCTTGATTCAGAGGAAGATGATGAACTGCTTGAGTCTTCCTGATTTGCAAAATATGTAAGGAGAGGGAAGGAGAGAAGGAGAGAGAGAGAGAAGACACCATGATGTATCCTGGTGAAAGGCAGGGTGTTTTTCTCTCTGCATGCCCTAAGCTCTTAGTTTCTGAAATGCAGGGTGTTTTTTTTCTCTCTGCATGCCCTAAGCTCTTAGTTTTGGAAGCATTTTTGTGGCCAGAATCCTGTTGGCTGCATGCAGCACAGGTATGTGATCTGGCAAGTGAATCCATCTGTCCTTTTGGCTGTGGCACTCCTCAGCATCCTCAGAGGAGGGAAGCAATGGCATGGCCTCTCACACACTTGGTGGTGTGATGGATGGCAAGTAGAGACGGAGGTATTTGTATACAAATATCCTTGCATAGCTGGACTTGGTAGCTGTGCAGGGAGACTCATCTTCCCTCCCCCTGCCTGGAGTGGCCAGCCAAGCAGGAAGAGAGCAGCGCTCTGGGTGTGATTGGAAGGATGAGTGGGATCAGCACTGCAGCAGGATGCGTGAGTGGACCCTTGTTATGTCCAGCTGCGCGGGGATATTCGTATATGAATACGAATACACCCATCTCTAATGGCAAGCAAAGAGGGAGAAATCACTGCCTCAGTGCCCTTACGTATGTGTTTACCCCTCCAACAGGATTCTGTCTAATGAAAAGGTATGGCATTTGGTAGGTCCTCTTTTTTTTGGTAAGGTAAAGGTAAAGGTTCCCTTTGACATTTAGTCCAGTCGTGTCCGACTCTAGGGGGCGGTGCTCATCCCCGTTTCCAAGCCATAGAGCCAGTGTTTGTCCGTAGACAGTTTCCATGGTCACGTGGCCAGCACGACTAGGCAAAGAACGCCGATACCTTCCCACCGTGGTGGTACCTATTTATCTACTTGCATTTTCACATGCTTTCGAACTGCTAGGTTGGCAGGAGCTGGGACAAGTGACAGGAGCTCACTCCGTCGCGTGGATTTGATCTTATGACTGCTTCTCTTCTGACCTTGCAGCACAGAGGCTTCTGCGGTTTAACCCGCATTGCCACCACGTCCTCCCTTTTTTTGGTACCTCAGCCCTAAAGAGAAAATCTCCAAATTGCAGCACGAGAAAGGATGATATCATATTGACACATGTATCTTTTTGGTCATGTAATTTCCAAGCCCTTTTTAATGGGGTTGCAGAAAACGTAGGGATGGGCTATTCTTTTCCCAAACTTCCTTTGGGTGTTTTGTTTTTTGGAGAGGGGTGTTGTGTGGGCTTCACAGCAACAAAAAGGGGAAGAGTGGAACTTTAAGAGGTGAAGCTCTCCAAAATGCTATGCTGATTTTTCCTGCAGCAGAGAAGCAACCTTTTAAAAAACAAGCAATTATGTCTGTGTCTGTGCATGGCTATTCAAATACATGCTCAGAAATAAAGGGGTGGATAGTCTCTTAGTTGTAGTAGTTCTGAGGAAAACACCTACTGTATGGGAGGAGTTCCTGTTCTCTTGTTGTTTCTCATCATTTTTGATGTCTGGTCTCTGCAGCTGTTGGTTTTGGCCAGAACCTTTCTGCATTATGTGCAATCGAATCTTGTCACGCTTCCAGCTCCTCCTGCTATCACTGCTGCTGCTGCTGCTGCTGCGGTCACTTTCACTGCTGCTTCTTTCGCTACTTCTAGTGTCATGGTCCTGCTCTTCGTCTTCCTCCTTCAGTTGTCCCCATCTGGCATCCTCAAATTCTGCTTCCTACAAATTTATTTAATTAACATATCTAAAGCATATATGCCATATTTTTCCAAGTATAAGACAACCCAATGTATAAGACAACCCCCACTTTCCCATCCCCAAATAAGAAAATTTTATCACTGCTTTATCCGTCCATTTGGGGCTTAGGAAATGGAGGGGTAAAGCAGCCATGAAAAGGCTGCATGATTAAAGGGCTACGATCGTGAAGCCCTTTCATCGTTGCTTTATCCCTCCATTTCCTAAGCCCTGAATGGAGGGATAATGCAGGGATGAAAGGGCTGCAGGATCAAAGAGCTGTGATCCTGCAGCTCTTTGATTCCTCCTGCTTCCTTCCGTGTATAAGACAACCCTCAATTTTTTATCTAAAGATTTTAGATAAAAGTATCATCTTATACATGGAAAAATGCCATATATATTTACCCTGTCTTTCTCCTTAACAAGGACCCAAGGTCCTTTACAACATTAGATGTCAATAATTAAAAGCTAAAAGGAATAAGAAACATTAAAAAAGAATCAAGCAAATATCACACTAAAAATGGTAAACAAAACCAAAATTAAAAAAAAGAGTCAAAACAACAAGATGCAACACTCAATTAAAAAAAAATCCTCTCGGGCAGCTAATCACTAAAGGGATGCCTGTCTGAAGAGAAATGCTTTTGTTGCTTGCAGAAGGATAGCAGAGTTGGGGCCTGCTGGTCTCCTGTGGGATAGAGTTCCATAGTCTGGGTACAATAACAGAGGACTTCTGTGAACTCACCAGAAAAAGAAAACTTTTTTTTGTGAGAGGAAGAAGTGTGGGTGCAGCCCACAAAGATCCAGAGATGGCCATGTTCTGCTTCTGGAGACTGACCATCCTCACCATAAAATATGCTAACATGCTTTATCACCAAAATACATGCTAGCAAAATACCTGAATGTGCTTTATTCTCAACTTCTTTTCTTCATCTCTCAGCAAAACTACTCTCTCTTGAGCACCTCCTTGAAATGTGAATCGTAACTTCTCAATTGGTGCTTTTTGATCATCTGAAAGTAGATACATTTTTAACTCCACTGCTCCTTTTTAAAAGCCCTACAATGGACAGACTAAACCAAATCCCCTCTCCCCGCCCCAAATGGAAACACTGATCATGTTCAAAGCAAGCTGCCACTCTTTTTGGTCCAGTGTACCAGGTGAGACTGGTCTATGTTGGTGTGGGCCACTTATGACCAATAATCATGATCTGTGACCTCACTTGACATAGGTGCAAAAGAAGCAATCAGGCACTGAAACAATAATTTAGAATTCATATGGTATCCAGCTTCCTTTTGTTGCCAGGTCAGGTTTCAGTAGGACTTTACGAAAATAGACAACTTTGGAGAATACAAGCATATAAATCAAAGGACATCCCCATGGCAGGCCTTTATCCTGTCATTGCAGGACAGGGCTTTACACCTGATCTAACAGAGAGCAAGAAACCGATTCTAGCTATGTATAGCAGATGTAGCTCTGGATGAAACAAACAGGTGATCCAGGCCATCTTCCAACAGCACAGAATAACCTGTGCTGAGAGGGCTGCTCTTTCATTTTCTGTGCATGCATGCATGCATGACTGTGTGAAGATAGGTATATGTATATGAATGTGTGAAGAGCATGATTTAACAGTGTGCAGGACAGAGAGAAGGGAGGTTGACTGAGAGCAAAAAATAACCTCGTCTTGGATAGATTAAAAATGAAAGCAGGAACCCCCAAATGCCCACAGTTAGTCACAATAGAGCCATTCAAAACAACTTCCAATTCATTCCATTCATTCAACTGGAATGCAGTCATCTCCATTTGCCTGTTTTCACTAGACTGGTGCTGGTGCATTTCAAGTGTGCTTACCACATTTCATCTTTCTGTTAATACAAAGCACGACCAGAAGCACCACTATCAAAGTTGGTTAATTATGTTTTCAAAACAAAGGAATTTGTTCTTTGGCAAAGCAGCCATGGAGTCACTCAATGCAACGAATATCTAAGTTCTTGATCTTAAAAAGGAAATCCACCACTGGGTGGAATATACCTATCATAAACATGTGTCACTAGTTTCACTGTATTATATGTTGTAAAGGAGCCTGTGAGAAATTATGGTATAATTGCATCCATAGCAGTGATTCTGAACTTTTAAAGTTTCTGTCTGAGCCATAAAACTGAAATAGAGCAGAAATAAGACTTACTCTGCCTCAGGGTTAGTTTCAAAGTGTGTTCACCAACGATGTTGTAGAGGGAGTCACCTAGCATGCATCCAGAATATGCATTTGACCGCTTGACACAGGCCTCACATCCAAAGGTACATGTTTCAAAGCACATTGTTGTTTGAACGGAATCTGAGTGGCGTTGTGACTGTGCTTCTGCTGACTTTATAAGTGTGTCCTGGATTTGTTAACAAGGAACATATTTAAGTATCAGCAGGCATGTAGCCCCTCCCCCTTTTTAAAAAGAGAAAGATCAGCAACTATCTTGGTACCTTCATGATGAACTGCATCAAGTTACATTCTGCTTCAATAGCATGCACAGCAAACACTACATGATCAAAATGTTATCCCCAAGCTGTTACAAGTCAATGTGCTGGATACAAACATCAATGTGTTTAAGTAGACCCATTGAAGTCAATGGGATAAGTTACTAAAGATTTTGATGAGTCTGTCTAGCTAAGTCCAGACGTTATTTAACTTCTCTTCCTCTATTTTTAACTATTGTCTATTGTGTAAATGTTGCAAATTGTCATTATATATTAATAGTTTTTACTATGTGTTTTGTGAGTCGCCCAGAGTAGACTATGTCTAAATGGGTGGCATATAAGTTAGATAGATAGATAGATAGATAGATAGATAGATAGATAGATAGATAGATAGATAGATAGATAGATAGATAGATAGATAGATAGATAGATAGATAGATAGATAGATAGATAGATAGAGAAAGAAAGAAAGAAAGAAAGAAAGAAAGAAAGAAAGAAAGAAAGAAAGAAAGAAAGAAAGAAAGAAAGAAAGAAAGAAAGAAAGAAAGAAAGAAAGAAAGTCTGGATCCAACCTGAAAGGATTTAGTAATTGATAAACTGGAGCAGGGCCACTTGTTTTATTTGGCATTAAGAATTGTTGTATTCCTCCCTGAAACAATAAGCACTGGTCGATTCCTTATATATCACATCTCCATTCTAATTGCTGAACTATTGAACAAATCCCACAGCAAGAACTTTGAATGTTCTGGAAATCTGCTATTAACTGGCAGTATTTCATGGTAAATATATTGCTTTTCATCTATGCTTTGCAGGCTTCTACATTCACACTATGATACAAGTGTTATTGTGAACTAGTAGGTCCCTTACTTATTGTACTATTAATTAGAACCCATCACCACATTCCGTTTACTCTTGTTCGCTTCTCCATTTGCCCTTTTTGAAGCAAAGCATTGTGTCTAAAAGCCCAGTATGAGTTACCTCTATTTCATCCTGTTTTAGTGGTCTAGAATCAAAAGCCTCCTTCATTATATTAGACATTGACTGAGGGATAAGAAGAGGAGTTGACTTAGCAAGTGTCTCTTCAATGTTGTAAGTGACAGCAGATGTGTGAAAACTGCAGAATAGAGAGAGAGAATTTTTGTATTAGATGTCTGAGGATGTTAAAAAGAACTGAGTTATATCTTGCAATACGGGCTTCTTAAAGAAAGACTGTTTCTTGTGAATTGCCTCACAAATGGTACACATGATCATGGCTGGTCATGTATTTAAAACAAAATCAAGAGTTTATAATTTATATGGGTGACATATTTAGACTTAGCTTAATGATGACATCAAATGTTAACAGAGTGTGTCAAACACATTGTTTCAGTTCTTTCCACCATGACCACTGGGTGTGGGTTACCTATTTCCAAAGCCCAGTGTAGGTTTTTGTCCTTTATGGGGTATTACTACAGAGAACTTACAAACAAAGGAAAAGATAATAAAAAAACTCTGGTAAATCAATTTGTAATGGTGACTGTGCTTTTTCCATATGGTCAAGCTAAATAAGAAGATGTTTCCTAGGTCACAGAATCATCAGCACTCTGGGGCTGTTCTCTTACTATGAGCAAAGTAAAATCTGTTTATTGTTGTGGCCGCAGGGGGAAAAATCAGTCAACTAATTAGTTAAAGCAACAACATTACATGAGAAAAAAAATCTTTCACTGTTGATATTTCTGGTGCATGTAATATTGCCGGGATACTGTAATGGCTACGGTCTTGAATTTTTAAGATCCTTAGTTATGCTCACTGAACAGTTGTGGAAAAGTTGCTCTCTCTTATCCAATCCTACCCTTCCCACTTATGATGAAGATAAAATTAACTAAATCTATGGGTACAAATGTGAACAACTGTTATTACATTATCATTCTTTTCACCCATTTACCTCACTCCTATTAAACACAAATACATGTTTCACAGTTTGCTGCAGCTATGTTCTATGTATCTTTCTCACCCAAAAGCACTAAATCCATCAGGATTGTTCCTATATAAATTGGCATAAAGGTTACAGCTTGTGCTAGGTATGCAACGACAGAAGAGTTTTTAATACACAGCATTTTTATAAGGAGTTTTCTCCTTATATTCAACTAAGGAGTGCCCATTGTGATAGGTGGGGTGGGGTGGGTTGAGACAGCTACCAATGGTGGTCAGGGCCAGGGCTACAGGCAGAACCAGAGGCAGAAGTGGGCACACAAACACACTCTCACACAGGAAGCCAAACATACATTCACACATACACATAGATAAAGACTGTAAGGGAAGCATTCATTCAGAAGCTGACTGACCCTCTGCCTCTGGAAAGAAAACAGGCAGAAGTGGACTGGCTGGGGGCAGCTGGAGCTTAGCAACCCTGTTTTCCTAATGCACTAGCCTTCATGGGTGCTATGAATGTGGACATTTTGTCCATGAGTACATACATGTCCAGTTGATAGGGTTCTTTAAAAGACATTAAACACAGACATGTACCAATGCACATTCAAGTTTCATAATATCCACTCATGCCATAGCCTTAGGGTTGTTTTTGAAATGCTGATGTGCTGAAGTGACCTGTCTGCCTGTGAACTGGAGGCCGGGGTGTTCCCACATTGCGCCTTCTGCGATTCACAACTGGTGAGGATGCGAAGACGCGTAATCTGCTCTGCCTGAAAGGGCAATTTGCATTCTTTTCATCTCTCTCTCTCTCTCTCCCTTTTGTCAGTGCCTGCGGTGCTGCTGAGGGTACCACAGAGAACACGATGTTGTGCTTCTGTATGAAACAAGCCATATTATTAATAATAACGCACCATCACCTGTGGGTTTTGTTTTCTTCCTAAGTTCTCTCTCTCTGGCAAAGCACATGACAGGCACATTCCATGCTAAGCTTAGCTAGAACCTTCAGGGATAAAAAGGCAACAAAACTGCATTTAAGAAAAGTGGTGGGGATGAAAGAAGCAGCAAGTCACCTTTCGTTTTACAATGGCTTCTCTGGGCAGAAGAAATTTTTTTAAAAAGTTCACTTCACTCATTCAGTAATTTAAATCATCACCCAATTGCAGGCTTATGACTCCCAAGTGAAAGTCATTGCCATCCTATACCTGTCCTCCCTTCCTTTTAGTTTTATTTCAAAGAATAATTATAGAATCATAGGATAACTGAGTTGGAAGAGACCTATAAGTCCATCGAATTCAACCCCCTGCCAAGTGTAGGAACAAGCAAGTCAACTGCTTCTGCACTGCACTGCACTGCGAAGACTGAACAAAGGCAGCTGGATCATTCATAGATTACGTATGCCACTGTCTGCAGAATCACACAGGACAGTATAAATTAGTTGCATAACAGCCAATTCTGGTGCTTTCTACAGAAGAAGAAACATTACAAGGAAGGCCTAGAGTAGGAATATTTCTGTTGTATGTGAGCTGCACTGAAAGGGAAATGAAAAGGGAGGACTGCACATTTCCAAAAGAAAGGTGCTCCATTATCTATATTACCAAAACCTTCCACTGACATAATGCCAAAATCCTATTGCATAAACTATTCCTCCATAAGGGTGATGGTGCCACCAGCAGGCAGAGATTACGGTTAACTTAAGAGTTCCAGCCTTGATTTGTGTGTGTGTGCATCACCCAGCTTGCCAACAACTTGCCTACAATCAGGTTCATTGACAGCAAGTCCCTCTGGTGACCCTCAGGACTGAAACAGGAACTGTATAATTGTATTCTCGAAGGCTTTCATGGCCAGGATCTGATGGTTGCTGTAGGTTTTTTGGGCTGTTTGGCCCAAAACAGAACACGGCCAAAGAGCCCAAAAAATCTACAACAACCAACTGTATTATTGCTGGCATTGGCATCTGGGTGAGTAATTAAGATAGTCCGGGGCAAACGGAATGAGTATATATTGAGCAGTAAAGCACATATATATGAATCACTTTCAATGAGGACCTCCTACTGAGATTTTGGTTTTTTCCCCTTGCTTGTTTTCCTTGTGTGCAGAGCTGTGGGATTAGTGGATGTTGGATGAGATATGGAGCAGATAGGAAGCCTAGCTGAGAAGCTTAGTCAATAGTAGTGACAATTTTTCAAGACAAAAAAACTGAAGTGCAATGGTGAGTTTCTTTATGTGAGTAAAAGTACATGAAATATGGGTAAGTAAATGGGATCAATTTCTCATTCAAAATATGTGATAAATTACATGAGAACAATGTAGCCCAAATGGCACTGCACTGACCACATTATGCACCTTGGTTTCATTATCTGCTTGGCGATCCTGGCTTCTCCCAAATGAGAGTACTACTTGCAGAAAGTGAATTAATCACATTTGTGATCAATCACATAAATAAGATACATATGGGAACTTTTTATTTGTCCCATTCATGAGAGCAGTACTTAAGATCCATTTTTCACAGCTTGCTAGAGCAATACATGATATATTTTGGATAGTGCATTCGCTGGCAGATTTCCATACTCTTGCTTTAATCTCCAGAGTTTGGTTTTCCAGAAGGCTAATTTATGCACTTACATCTTTTCTTGATGTTATGAAGAAAAATAGGATCTTAAGTGCCCATTTGTTGGTTCATTAAACATTGTAAAGATAAGCTGCCCAGTAAGGAGCTAAAACATCCTGCATTTGCACTATTTATGACACTCATTAATTTCAATAGGATTGTACTAAGACATTTTTAATGGCAAGAAGCTATGAAGAGTTCTAACTGGGGCTGTCACCCAATTAAATGAACCATTGCAGAGACTTATTAATAAATGCACTGATAGCAGGTCTACACGGGGTAGATGGGGAGACTGGTTGATTGATAAGCAATTGGTGGTTCTGTTTTCCCTTGAGAGGTATATCTGGTGCCTTCACTGCTATGTTTTAGATGCCTCAGGAAGACATCATGGTATCTCTTACTCAGTTTGGTCTGGATTTAGCCATACTGAGAGGAGTTCCATTTACTTTAAAGCTTATTGACTTTGATGGGTCTACTCTAAGTAAGAATATGTCTGAATTCATCCCACCCCCCGTTCTTCCATCTAAAATGAACGCTTAGAGGTCAAAATATGGAAATATATGTTTGCTCACAATAACTAACAATTCTACATCTTGTAGCAACAGAGGATCATACAGTTGAGTACAAACTTTGCAAGAGACTTATGAAAATGTAAGTATACAGGAATTTCAGGGCAATGCCATTATGTATGATAAAAGTGATACCTCATATTGAACTTGCATCATATTTTTTTGACCCGCATACCAAGCAGTAACTACAGTTCTCTGTAGGCCTTCTAATAGAGTCTACCGTGGTTCCCCAAAAATAAGGCAGGGTCTTACATTAGCCTTCTAATAGAGTCTACTGTGGTTCCCCCAAAATAAGGCAGGGTCTTACATTAGTTTTTGTTCCAAAAATGCATTAGGGCTTATTCTCAGGGTATGTTTTATTTTTTCATGCACAACAATCTACATTTATTCAAATACAGTCATGTCATCTTCTGGTTGCTGCACAATGGTGGAGGGCGAGGTTTCACTTAACTGGGGCTTATTTTTGGGGTAGGGCTCATTTTACAAGAATCTTGAAAAATCATACTAGGGCTTATTTTCAGGTTAGGTCTTATTTTCGGGAAACAGGTTACAGGTTTAAGAATGTAATCTTTTAAGAAATTTGTCTAATTACAGAGCTCTATTTCACAGAACTCTAGTTAAACCTATAAATGTATACTTTATACCTCCATAGTTTTAGCTGGACCATTGGACATAAGACCCCGCTCATCCCATAGACTTTGATTGGCAAAACTTGACCAGAGTTGTTAATCATGGACCTTGCAGTAAACTGGACACAACATTAATGTTATACAACTATTCCCATCACCCCGAACAGCAGACAATAACAAAAATAAACAAATGAAGGAGATTTGCCTCTGTATTTGAGGAGTCTTGTGGCGCAGTGGTGAAACTGCTGTACTGCAGTCAAAACTGTGCTCACGACCGGGAGTTCAATCCAAGGCTGACTCAGCCTTTTATCCTTCTAAGGTCATTAAAATGAGTACCCAGCCTGCTGGGGGTGGGGGTGGGCAACGTGTAGCCTGCAGAATTAACTTGTAAACTGCCCAGAGGGTGCTTGAAGTACTATAAGCAGCCCTCGTTGCTTTTTCGCTTTTGCTTTTTATATCCCCAGAGGGTGCTTGAAGTACTTTAACGTGGTATATAAGCAGCACTCGTTGCTTTTTCGCTTTTGCTTTTTATAGTAAAACATGCATGCATACATTCATCCATACATTCAGCTGTTTTGGGAGAAGGCAACCAGTACAGCCTACCTTAGAGAAACAATATCGGTTTCCTTCTCACATGGTGGAAGTTCAATATGGAAGGTCTTTTCCTTAATATTCACAATGATATCAACCTCCACAGGAAGGTTTACATTCAGTCTGGCATTTGCTTCCAGCACAGCTCGAATTTCAGGTGTCACGACTCCCACCGTCAACAACATATCCTTCAGAATGCTAACCATGTAAAATGAACAGCATGGTTAATTCACAACTACACAATGAGGACTTAATAAACCCAAGAGGGTACTTTTGCAATTTTGCTTACCTAAGTTCCCCCTTGGTTTGTAGCTTAATTTCAGCGTTGAGCAAGTCTGGCAAAGTCAACTGTGACTTTGATTCTGGTGTCATTGACAACTGAACTGTGTGAAAAGAAGTTCATAAAATAAACATAAATATATGGTTTATGTTAATATATTGTTAAATGTATGTATTTATGTACTGTTAATGCATTAATGTATTGTTACATTAAATATGGAATCTACAAAATATAAAGGAGGTGTTTCACAAGTTGTATTTTTTTTTCTCCTAAAAGAGACATGAAACTAAAACATGGTGCTTTCATTAGGCATTCTGTGTAGGAGATTGTATTCCATAGCCTTACCACTTCCAGCCAATTTTGTGTGAGAAATATGAGCCAAGCTGATTTGCCATGGGAGTCCAGTACACGTAAGTGCAAGGAGATAGACCTCTGCAGACATAAAATTCTTTTCCCACTGAAGAGCCTTATGATTTCTGAGGACATCCATAAATTCTTGGACAGAGGAAACAGCTGTTTTCCCCTGGTAGATCTGAAAAGATAGATTTGTCCTTTTTTTAAATAAAGGGAACTTGAATGGCAGTGATTGCTTCCCAGAAAAAAAAACCCAGTCAGAATGAAGAATGTTGCAGCGCTTAAAGAAGGGAAAGACCAAGAAGGGGACAGCATATTTAAGCTTACGATCTTGAATCTGACAGTGATGTCAAAAGAGGTACCTGGAATATTTCCTGTATTGTATCAAGCTTCATTTGCCCATGAATGATTTCTTGGTCGAATATTTTCAGATATGCTCCTACAAGAGGAGGATCATGTGGTATCTTCTGATCAGAGAGCTGCAGGGGACAAGACATGTAATGAAGTGTGTATTCATGATTTGTTTAAATTATTCCATATTATCATTCCACCTGCAATGATTTGGGGGGGTTGCATGAAGCATTTTTTAAAAACTGTGATATCCAGCAGTCATTATACAACCAACAACAACAGCAGTAAACAGTGGAAATGACATAAGTGGAGGAGAATGTGTCACAAAAAAAATTCCAACCCAGTCCATCAAACACCTGCTAGACAGAAGAGATTTCAACTTAGGATAGTGGTTTCCAACCTTGGGTTCCCCAGAGGTCTTAAATATAAGCTGGGCTGGCCAGGATTTCTGGGAGTTGTAGTCCATAGGCATCTGGGGATCAAAGGCTGGGAACCACTGGCCTAGGAATTCAAAGTAAATAGGGAGAGGGGCCAAGCAAGCCTCCTGAATTAGAGAATTCCACCATCAGTGTGAAACTGTAAAGGCTCTTTCCTGTGGTCCAAACAGCCATGCTTTAGCCCCTGGAGAAGCTGGTATGATCAAGCTGGCATGGAACATCTCCTGGGCTCAAGCATTCATAGGATTCATATGATTACCGCATATTAGATTTATTGTGCTGGTCATTTACCATATCTTGAAGCTGCTTGGTATCAGGATCCCAACTGCCACCTTTGGCAGCTTCGTGAATCTTTTCTAAGAGATTAGGTAATCCTTGTGTTCCTATGCCCACCTATGTTGGAAAGTAAAACAGAATTACAATAATTTAGCAGTACATTGCTTTTAGACATTTTCATCAGTTAGCACCTTGCTTTTTACAAGTTAATTGATTACATTTCCAGTGCAATGCTATGCATACCTACTCAGAAGTAAGCCCAACTATATTCACTGGGCCTTATTCTGAAGTAGATATGTGCAGCAATGCAGTCTCAGTATATTTAAACCATTTAGGAAGGGCTCAGAAGTAAGTAAGGGTCTTATTCTGAAATAGATATGTGCAGCAATGCGGTCTCAGTATATTTAAACCATTTAGGAAGGTTTTTTAGGAATCCCATAGAAGTTTGTGTATGTGCTAGCTTACATTAAACCTCACTGACCTCAAGATGTCCACGTTAAAGAAGGATTATGCAATAAACAAAACCTGTAATCTGTTGTTAGGGTGGAAATGGCTGTTCATCAACTGCTCTATTTTTTAATTATCAGATTTCTGATTATGGACTCTTCCTACCTCAGATAAGACAAGAAGTTCAATGATCGTCAGTAGAGATAGGCACAATTCAGGTTATTGCACTTTGTATGAAGCACACTGCACAACACCACAGGTGCGACTAGAACTCATCCCTCTTCCCTCTTGGCTAGTTGGCCCACTCACCTTGTGTTGCATGCCTTTGGGGTCCTCCTTCTTTGGTGGTACACCAGTTCAGCCAAGAGCTTGGTCTGCCCTTCCCTGCCCCCTCTGGCAGCCCACCACTCCATGACTGTGCAGAGGCAGCTTCCTCATCCTGAGGAAGCATCCATCCTCTGTCCTGCCTCCTCATCAGAGTGGTCGGCTGCCAGAAAAGGTGGGGAAGGGCAGGCCAAGCTCCTGTCCAGACTGAAGTGCCACTGGAGAAGGAGGACCACAGCAGCACATGACATAAAATGAGTGGGCCAGCTGATTGAGGGGGATGGGGGGTGGGTCATATGAAGCATGATGACTTTTGTGTTCATCTCTAATCATCAGTACTGTGGGAGATTATTTTGATACTGACTTCATCATTATCAATCAATTCGAAATGATTCACAGTCCATGAAAGGCAAAATATATGATAGTTGGGAGTTTAGATGATGCTAATAAACAATATTTCTATTGTTGGCCAAAACCACATGTACAGCTTTGCACCATGAAAGATTTCTCAAAAGTACAGATTTTACTCTGTAATTCAGGTTGGAAATAAAGGGTGGAGAAGTTCCCAGTTACCTCTAAAGGAAAAACTGTGTAGCCCAGAAAAGTTGCCCTGAATCTGGTCATTGCAAATGTTGGGATCATGCTTCCTTCTTTATGGATAAAGACTAACTTAGCTGCCGCTCCAGCCATAAGAGATTCTAAAAAGATAAATAAAACAATGCACAAGTTTACAGCTTTCCCATTTCAGAATGAAAACATATGTTAACATTCTAACGGCTTAAAGTGACCACAACATCATTGCAAAAAGTCAAAAACATTCTAGAAAAATCACAAAAACAAACAACGGTGAGATAGACTATCACAATTCAATAATCCGGGCTTGGCAGTCCTGTCAGATTTGAACTTGTGAAGTTCAGTCATGTTCTGGGCTTGCACCAATAACATACAGATATGTGTACCATTGATTAAGGTAAGGGAATAAGTTCTTGGCAAATTTTTGGAATGCAGTACCACTCAGAATGTTGTTTGCATGTGGAAGGCTACAGGTTCCCTTGTACCTCTACCTTTAGAAGTTGTTGTATAGCTTTTCCGTTAATGCTTGGTGTGAGATTTAGAGGGCTGCTGGTTTACATAAACATATTAGATACCCCAATGTCTGTGATTAACTGTCTGGCAGCAGGTAAGCAATATTACAACTTCCACCTATTGTTAAAATTTCAATGCATTCACAATTAGTCATGAAAGCGTATTATAAAAAAAAAAAAAACAGAAACAAAACAAAACCTAGTTGTAACTAATTTCTTCTCCCAATAATGCAAGCATCACCACATTACTTTGTATGCAGCTGTAACTTAATTAGGGATAGCATCTTGTTAGTAGGTGTTATTTTTACATGGCTTCATGAAATGGTGCAGAGGAAATATCATATAGCTGAAGCATGAGCTTATGCTGTGTTTAGTGTTGACATTTCATGTGCTGCATGAAATTTCAGAATCTTGCAGAATAGAGTTGCTTTTTTTGAAGTAACTTCTGGGAATTCCATGAAAAGGGAAAACAAAAAATAAAGTTTTTGAAAAACAGTCTTATTATAAAGGCAACCAAGTGTTTTGGGAGGATATTGAAACTGTAATTAATTATGTTATCAAACTCTTTACATCAGAAATTTGCCATGCAAAATCTCTCACAGCATAATGAAAAGGAGCGGGGTAATGAAAGAGGTTTGCTGTTCTAGAGGAATGGGCAGGGCTATTCTCGTCATGGGCTATTTCTGACCTATGTTTCTGCTCTAAGACTCTGTACACCTTTGAAGTAGATAAATAAAGAAGTAGATGGGGATCATTTTGCTAGCCTGCCTTCACAACACCTTGTTCCATCTTTATTCTCTCTGTAGAACAATTGCATTGCTGTGTCTTCCTAACTGTACAGAATGCAGAAGGAAAGCAATGCATGCTGAGGGATTATATATATTAAACAAACCAATTGTATATTTTTTTCTGGGTTGCTGCCATGAGGGGAATTTAAGTGCTAGTGCTGACATTTCATGTGACATTTCATGGGTTGCTGCCATGAGGGGAATTTAAGTGACCTGCATATGGTTCTCAAATGTTTGCATCATTTTGCATCACATAACCAACTCTTAGAGCATGCCCCTTACCTCTGAATATCTGGAAGGCCAGTGTTCTACTGTATCGATGACCAGCTGAAGGTTTGATTTTTCCTTCCAGGATGCTGAAAGCCTGTCTGCAGTCAGAAGCTCTGGGGGAAATGCAGGTAAGAGCACTCATATAAACACTTGTTGTTTATATTACGGTACTCATTTTAAAGAAAATCAAAATTCTTGTTAAGTCTTACATCCGTCTGAATTCAGGACCTGTGAATCTAGCCATTGCCTTCAGGGTTGTGTAGATGAAATTTTGCACCTGCTTGCTGGGTTCTTTTAACATAGCTTCAGCCAAATTCATCAATATACCAAGAGGTGGATTGCTTTCAAGGAGACACATGGCAGCATGCACTCTCACTGTAGGGTTGAGCGCATGGTCCATGACTACTGGAAGGAGGATTTCTTGGACCTGGTAAAAATAGATAGAAAATATGAACATCCCCCTCTTATTTTTCTCTCTCATCCAATGGCATGTGAGACATTTGGTCATAATGGCGCAGAAAGCAAGAACTTGGATTTGTTCAGCACATCTTTCCCTTTTCCTCTTTGAGCACCAGTGCACAACCCAATAAGTTACATCAGCATCCAGTGATTTTGTGCATACAGTGACAAAACAACAATAGTCAAATGGTTGGCTGGAAACATGGAGATTTGTATGCTGGGACTGTACCTTAAATAGGTACCACTATGTTGGGAAGGTAATGGTGTTCCGTGTCTAGTTACGCTGGCCACATGACCACGGAAACTGTCTAAAGACACATGCTGGATGCATGGCCTGGAAACAGGAATAAGCACCGCCCCCTAGTGTCGGACATGACTGGACAATTGTACCTTTACCTTACTGTGCCTTTATGAACTACATTCTATTTATTTATTTATTAAACTTGTGTGCCACACTGATTAGTGGTAAACACTACATTGGGTGGTTTACACCTCAAGTAAAAAAAAACAGAAATAAGTAAATCATTAAATAATATACTAAGAAACAAATACCACATATAAACAAAAGACAAACATCAGCTGAAAATCAGAGGAGAAGCAAATGAGGGCAAATGGGCAATGTAAAAATGAGCTATTCAAACTATATTAAGAGAAGGTGCTTGCAAAGAAAACATCAAATCATCATGGTCAATTAGTGATAGACAAAATACAGTAGGACAGCCATATCTGCGGGAATACCTATGGTTTCACTTATCCGCTGCCCAAAAATATTAAATTAAAAAACACCAGAAACATGTTTTTCCAAGGTGTATTAGCAAAACTGGCCACTAGAAGGAAACAGAGAGTATACTATATATAGGATTTCTATATCCGCACTTTCCAGCATCAGTGAGGGGACTTGGAACCGATCCCCCATGTATACCACAGTCCTCCTGTATAATTTAGCAGCTACTTAATGTTGGTGATGCAAATCCTTCTTCTCTGAAACTCAAGAAAATCTTCTTACCCGTCTAGGATCTTTCTTGGCCATATTTCTTAGAGCCAGTAATGCATTATACTGAACCCTGGTATCAAGAGAAGATGCAGCATTTGAGATGAACTTCCGGATAGGCTTCCAGAGAACAGGCTGTCCAACGTTTCCAAAGCACTTCAGAACCAGGATTATTCCTTCCACATCAGATTCTCTCACTGCTTTATTTGCAAAATCAATCAGAAGCTGTTTTTTAAAAAAAGAACAAGAGTCAAAATCATGTTGGTCTCAGTGTTAGATGAAGCCCAGAGGCAATGTGATCTAAATCCAGAAACATTAATGTGCATGATGTTGTGGTATAGGATTGAAACCACTCACAGAAAAGAACCACAAGAAGTGAAATAGACTATGAGTTTGTGCTGGCACGTGGATGTAGGGACATCTGGCATGACCAGCATCTTATGCTATTGTACTGGAACTTCTGTTTTCTATCCATACCAGCTGAATTGACACACTTTGATCTAGTTGTAAATCTGTAATTCAAATCATTGTGCTCATTAATAACAATCTGCCGTTAAATTAGTAATAGATTAAATATCCCTAGCAGCTATCTAAAGTACATAAGATGGGGTTTCAAAAGGAGGTGCTTTGACTGTCTTTTTGGAGGGAGCGAGAGAAGGAATAGTTTGTGCTGGCATGTGGATGTAGGGACATCTGGCATGACCAGCATCTTATTCTATTCTATTGGAACTTCTGTTTTCTATCCATACCATCTGAATTGTCACACTTCGATTTAGTCGTAAATCTGTAGTTCAAATCATTATGCTCATTAATGACAATCTGCCGTTAAATTAGTAATAGATTAAATATCACTAGCAGCGACCTAAAGTACATAAGATGGAGTTTCAAAAGGAGGTCCTTCGACTGTCCTTTTGGAGTGAGTGAGAGAAGAAAGGCAGGATAGAAAGAAATCCATCAAATACAGTTCCATGTTGTGATATTATTGTTAAAGCATGAGCTCCATTTTATCCCAATGGCTGAATAGCCCAATAATATTTGTTTTGGTAATATTACTCTGTGGGGTTTAGTGACATTTTGCTGAATTTAAGAGGTCTTATCCAATGTGTTGTTGCAATAACTTACTGAAATGTGATAGTGTGAAGACAATCATGCTCCCCTGCCCTTGATCAGGCAAACTTAAATCTATTGATAAGAAAATGTGACTTGCTTAGGAAAGGTATGGGGCAAAAGACCCCTGTGGAATGTTGTTTCTAGGAAAACCCATCATTTATTAATGAATAAATATGAATATCAACCAGTTTCAAAAGTCAATATGTATTATCAATAATATTCTATACAAATGAAGATGATATAAGGGGCTGAATTCAGTGCTGGAATTCTACTCATGGAATGATGTAAGTTGGGGAAAGGTCCGTTCCCACTGCAGTTCATCAGAATACGCCCCCCCCCAAACACTCAAGTGGACTGGAATACCTCTGGAGCAAGGGTCTCAAACATGTGGCCTGGGGGCCATTTGTGGCCCACCGGATGATAGTTTGTGGCCCCCGCCTTGCCTGCTCCCCCTGAACTGCCCACGCAGCCTTTACTGACAAGTGAAGATTATATAAAGGGCTGCAGTCAATGCTGGAATTCTGCTCATGCAGTGATGTAAGTTGGGGAAAGGTCCGTTCCCGTGAAGATTATATAAAGGGCTGCAGTCAATGCTGGAATTCTGCTCATGCAGTGATGTAAGTTGGGGAAAGGTCCGTTCCCATGAACTGCCCACGCAGCCTTTACTGTCAAGAGTAAAAAAAAGACTTGCCTTGTTCGCCGGCTCTCTCCCAAGACAGCACCTCTTGCAGCCTCCATCCAGAAATGCAGTCTGCCAGCCAGCCCAACTGTCCGCCGGCTGAGGATGCCCCCTAAACACTCAAGTGGACTGGAATACGAGAATGCATTAAAGCAGTTTTAGACTGTCGTATCCAACACAGACTGTTAGAAGTGAACACATGCTCTAAAGCAGTTTTAGACTGTCATATCCAACACAGACTGTTAGAAGTGAACACAATAATACTGATTTCCATGATATCTTTGAGAAATGTCTTCCCTGGGCAATTTGAGATACGTATGCTAGATAGCACAAGACAGAATTCTAGATATGTGAGATGGGAGAAGATGAAAAATCATAAGCTTAAAAGAACTTAGATGAATTTATAGTAAAAAAATTCTGGATAGAAACGTGAATGCTTAAATGAACAAACAAACAAACAAACAAAAAAGAACTTAGATGAATTTATAGTAAAAAAAAATTCTGGATAGAAAAGTGACTGCTTAAATGAACAAACAAACATGCCAGTGTCTTATAACTGTTTCAGACAAACATGCTATTGAAGAGCTAAAAAAAACACAACAGCCCATACTCTGTCACCCCCTCCCTATCACATTTTTGTTTCACCCTCAGTGTTGGTAGTCAATGTGGTATGATTCCACATCACTGTGGAATCATACCACACAGTTTCATTTGAAGGAATTTATCTGTATGAAAAAAATACCTCCCATACTCTGTCACCCTCTCCCTATCACATTCTTGTTTCACCCTCAGTATTGGTAGTCAGTGTGGTATGATTCCACACCACTGTGGAAACATTCCACACAAGAGTTTCATTTGAAAGTTCCTAGACATAGGATGAGCTAGCCGATAGTTCTTTAAAAAAAAGAAAGTTCCTAGACATAGGATGAGCTAGCCTCCTCCCTTTTTCCATCCTCAGAGGAAAACATGTTATGAAAAGCTGACGTGATACCTTGAGATATTTTTCAGGGCATGTGAGTGAGGCGGAGCAGTATCTGTTAAGTAATGACGAATAGGCCAAGAGGATCGATGTCCGGTAGAGGCTACTGGGTCCTTTGAGAGCTTCGGTTGCAATGATCTGCAGAGAGAAGAGTTGGTCGCTGACATAATTAATCATCACAAGGGCAATAAACAGAAAGGAAATGTTTTGCAGATATTTAACATATGCATCAATAAAATTAGATGCAAATGCATAGGAACACATGGGGATTAAAGCACAGTCAGTACATGTAACAGCTTTGCATCAACGTAGTGTTCCACTTAGGGATGAGAAAATCAATGGATTTTGATTTCACCAGATTCCTAATTTCTCTGGTTGCAAGTTAATTTCACCTGAAGTGTATATTAATTTGCAAACATGACAAAATCTGTCTCAACGTGCAAATGTATATGTGTTATTCTGTGCATTGGATATGCATTTATGTCCCCCTATGACACACATTTCTGTATAAACATTTCTTACATTGAACTTTTGTTGAAAGCATGTGTTCTAAGAATAGTGTGCTTTGTGTGCAGTTTTGGTTATTAGGGACATTACTGTGAGCATTTTTCCTTAATGTACACATTTTTGTGCACATTTTTGGAGTTGCATATCAGATACTGGAATGCAGTGTTTTGCAGCTCATTTAGAAGTCTGGCGGGGTCTGAATTAGGTAGGATCATGCCAATGTATGGCCCTCATGAATCTATCCTCTGTCCTTAAGGTTAAATCAAAAAATAGTTCCGACTATAGCAGACCTACTGAATTGAGCCTTCAATGAATCTTTCAACAGGTAATTTCAATGTCTGCTCTACTCAATGTTACTAACATTGAATTTAAACCTTTGTTAGAATGGTTCCCAGCCTTTCTTCCAAATCCAGTACCCAGATCTCAGGCAATTGTTGGCTGAGGTCTCAGGGAATTCCTATGCTTCTCTAGGACTCCAGCAACACTGGGGAAGGAGATAGTTTGATTTCTGTGTGTCAAACAGTTTCAGAGCTTATGTATGTATCTACCTGTAACAATTCCCAGGAAGCTCCAAACTCACTGTTCCTGCATATGCAACACTTACTTTCTCCCAGCCCATGCCTGCCCACTTCTGTGATGCCACAAGGGGTCCTTCCTTATACCATTAAAAGGACCATGATCTCAGATTTTAGTCTCAGAATCTCAAAGAATAAGATGTGGCTGATTTGGCAGCCTTGCTTACAACATATTAGTGACGTTATTCCAGTCATCCTTATACAGTAACTACTTTCTCAAACATATTAACATTAAATGCCCCACAAGACAGACGAAGGATGGGTTGCTTAAAGTCCAGGGAATATATGGCAGAGGCAACATTTGAATTAGAAAATGTTGGTTTATTTTCTTCACTGATATGAACACCAGAGCTCAAGGTGCAAAAATAACTTCCAAGGTTTGACAAATTGACTTGAACCCAATCAAACTGATTTAAAGGCAAAGAACATCTATGACAGCATTTTGAAGTTAACAAGACCCATAAGATGGATCACCCTCTTGGCTTACAGTGTCATATGAACATATTACTGATATGTTCATATGACGCTGTAAGCCAAGAGGGTGATCCATCTTGTCACATTTATAGGAGACTGGCTGACTTGATAAGCTTGCTACCATTTGTGTATTTCCTCATCTAACTTTGCTTTCCACCCCCCATAGTTTTCAACATTGGCAGGCTTTCTTGTCTGCAGATGTAAAGTTATGCAGCCCTGTGATAGAATTCATGATTTACACAGCTTTAATTGCTGAGGGCTGGAGATGTCCATGGGCTGGGCCAGTGACCAAGGTAGCGTGGTTTAGTCTATTAAAAGAGATAGGACCAGTGGGAACATTTAAGTGTGATAAAGGTGAGGGGAGATCTCTCTCTTTCTTCCAGAAAAAAAGAGCTGACTACAAAGAAAACATGTGGCATGATTAAAGCTCTATAAGGACATGGGGAATCTACGTGACTGGTGAGCAATGCTGTTTTAAACTTAGGTACCTTTGTCGTCGTTTAGTCGTTTAGTTGTTTCTGACTCTTCATGACCCCTTAGTGACTGGCAAATAATGAAGTCATGCTCAATTGTCCCACCCAAGTCTTTTTTTAAAAGTTCTGTTTGAGAAATGACCACAAGCATAGGACTATGATGCAATTTGTATTTTTACCATAGCTTCTTCTACTACTTCTTGAGATGCATTGCAGAAATGGAAGAACACGAGCAAGGTCTGTGTTGCTTCAATGCTGCTGATTTCTTGCCTCTCCATCTTACGCCTTATGAATTTAAGTGCATCTGCGTTACCAACAGTAGCTGCTAGATCCATGATAAGACGCCTAGGGAAAAGAAGTCCCAGTCACATCCAAGTTCTGATCACTAGAATTGATATTATTCAGTTATGCTTGATGATAAGAAGTTATTCCCGTATTAGCTTACTTATATGTTGGCTTGCTGGAGTACTGTTGAAAGAAGGAGTCAAAATAATTCTTTTCTTCTGCTGTGCGTAAAAGTTGGACAAGCTGCAGGAATCTTATTCCACCATTATCTGGGAACTTCTCATCTGTGTGCTCTGCCAGGTATTCTAATCCTTCCCTAATCTGTTAGATAGACATAGGGGAAAAAGCAGTGGGGGAAGGGAAGAAGGGGGGGGGAGAAAAATAACTTGTCAAACACTGATTTATCCTTCTGTGAAAAAAAAATATTGAAATTGTGTTAAACTTCCATGTGCATGTCCAGAGTTAAAGTTTACCTCTCTCTCATAGTCCTTGGATTTGGGTAGCTTGACAGGAAGCAGAGGGTTTTCTTTGGTTATATTGTACAGAAGTGGCCCACATTTCTTCAAGTTTGAAGGCACTAGTGGCAAATCTGCTTGTGAATCTCTATATATCAAACTCTGCCTGTTGAAGAAAGGCCCAGTGACTTTTAGAACAAGAAAACCATGATGAACACTCAAAGCTATTTCTGTTTCTTAGTTTTTTAATAATATTCTCCACTGAGGAAACTGTTTTTTGTTTGTTTTGAGAAGAAAAATGCAGATCTGCCGCACCTTTGTTCTTTATTTGAAGCTGTGGGTGCCATAAATATTTGAACCCGAGGGCTAAATCCAGTTGCTAGCCTTATTTGGAACATATCTTTTGAATGACTAAGACTTCCTAAGTCCATGTTTATATCAATCCCATTGATGCAAAGAGTCTGCCTCTACTGGGTTTAGCCTCAGTTCCTAGGCAGAACATGATTTTAACTTTCAGAATTTCTATACATATACAACATGGGTTTTCCATTTGTTTCCTGACTGACTGGTGAATTATTGCCAGAATGACTTAAGGAGAAATCATAGTTCACATTGTTCATGGAATGTCACAACATTATTGAAAGGACTCAGAACATGACAAGGCTTAATTCATGTAAATGGCAGTTCCATTTTGGAAGAAAGGCACCTATAAATTAGAGTAATAAAAATAAAATAAATGGGCAAAAACCAAACACATAGGAGACCATTAGCCTCATAACACCAGCATGGGCACCTGATCTGGATGGGGAGCATGTTCTGGATCAAGGTTTAATGATTGCTTTCCCAACTTAGCAAAAATAGCTAGGTTAAAAACTTTTATTTAAACACACGACTATTGGTCACATCTTGTTTGGCCCTGAGGGATTTCTCTTGGTGCTGTTATTCCCCCTCTCCCCAATCTCCTTAACAGAGGTTTTCCATGCTTCAAATTATCTTACAGCAAGCGGAACATTTATGCAGTTTTGGTATCAAATAGTGTTTGTGTTGGCTTTTGAGATACATATCAAATAATACCCATTTGAAATAAACTAATCAGAAACTGGCAACTGCTGCTAGCAAAGATTGGGATATTGCTGCACCTGTTTCAGATTTATAGCCAGCCATAACAGTGAAGGCCATTTGGGTGGCTTGTGAAATGAAAGTCTAGCAAACAGGATACAGTAGATGTTGAACATTAGTCTCAGAGATTTTGACTGGGTTATTTACGATGATGAAGTAATAATACATTAACACAATTTGTTGCACTGGAGCATTTATGTAGAGGTATGTTACCTGGCTTCCATTTTGACACTTCCTCCATTTAAAGCATTAAAAGGTGTAAACTGCCGGATTTCCCAACTGTCCGCCTGCATAATCAACCTTTCATTCTCTCTTTTTTGTGCACCATTGATTGTATAGTTGGTTAAAACTGAGGCCTGAATATTCTTTTTCATATTCATGGAAGAAAGTAATGATAAGGTCATTTAGAAGCATTTAAACATACTCATAACAAGCGTTGTTTGATAAAATTACTCTGTTATTATATCTCTTCCAGAATCTCCCAGCTATGATGGCCATGAGATTCTGGGAAGTATAAGCCAAAAACAAACAAACAAAAGAAACAACAACAACAACAACAACAACAACAACAACAACAACAACAACAACAACAACAAAACATCAAAATCTTCCACACTTTGAGGGTAACTCCAGAAATGAGCATTCACATAATGGAAGAGTATGCAATAATTCTACATTAGTAATTTTTTACACTAGGGTTTGTTAACTGGCAAATCACAAGGTTCAGTCCAGGATTTTCTAGGCCTTATGGTTTTGTTGGCTTCAGAGAGGAGTTACATATCATCAAGCTGATACTAACATATGATGACTCTAGTAGGGCTTCCAGGGTATGTGATAGATTTACTGTAAGGAATTATTTTACCAGTCCTACCATTAGTGAGTTGCCATGGATGAAGGGGGTTTGAAGCCCTATTGATGAGTTCAAGTTAACACTCCCTCCACCATTCTCTCCAGGTCTCAGCACGGGGATAGGGAAACAAAAATGGATGACATAGGCAAATGCCTTATACTAAGTCAAACCACTGGTCTGTATACTTTAGGATTCTCTGCTTTGACCAGAAATGGCAAACTGGATTTTCGGATAGCAGCCCTTCTGAGACATACCAAGGGATGCACCTGGGGGCTGTCACATGTAAACCACATGCTCTGCATTACAGTCTTTCCAAAGAAAAGAGAGCATGTCAGGGAGGGCAAAAAGGATAAACCTTTTGTCCAGTCTCCTATTTTCCAAGCTTCTCTTAATTCGCATAGCCATTTTGGACCATAAGAAGACTCTTTCTGGGTCAAACTAAAAATGCATCTCACCCAGCATATTGTTTTCCATAGCAGCCAGAGGATGCAAAGCAATGGAAAGCCAGGAAGCAGGGTTTGGTGACAATAAAAGCCAGCCTCCCCTTTCACTGCTCTTCTTCAGTTGAGAGCATGACAGCTGATATTTAATAAAAAAGGTGGTATCAGCCAGCCATTCTTAACCCCTCCCGCCTATTTTTGCCATGGGCATAAACATAATACGAAAGAAATACAGTCTGAATCAGGAATGTATAAGTTGCAAAATGAACCTTATAAGGTGGTGTGTGAAAAAATTGTTTTCCATCTGTGTCCCCCTTCAAATGTGCCAGGGGGCCATATAGACAACGTGGTCTGCAGATGAGACCTCCTCTTTCTTGGGTTTCTGTACAGTGTCCTTTTGCTCTCGGTGCACTTGAAGATAGCTAGAAAAAGTCATAGAGGAGAGCAACCCAGGAAAGGGCTGGTGTCTCATGCTTCCCTTCTGTCTTTGCAAAAAATCTTTTTGCCCTTCCAAGCCAAGAATGGCTAGAAAAAGCCAAATCAGAGTGAGTACCAGAGGAGGGAAGAAATGGTCGTATGAATGGAGTCCATAGGGTTAGATCTTTTCCTCTTGTCTTTCCATCTCTGTTACATTTACTTTGTTAGAAAAAATGCAACTGAGAGCAGTGGAATATGTAAGAATTTCTTCCGAGGAGGGACAAGCCACACTATGGCAGTATTTTTTACCATATCACTGCCAGCTTTACTGCCGTTCCCTTTCTCTTTGTATATAACTTGTGACAAGATTTTAAAACGGCAGTCTTCACATTGCTCTAAGGGCTCTGCCACTGAATTGCTAGCAATACTGGTCAGCATCATATGTAAACAGATCATATGTGGATCTACTTTCAGATGGGAACAGATTGTAGTAGTTTGCACCCATGCATTGCACTGACCTTTGGGCATTCTTCGCATGGAACAGCATACGAAGCACCAACAACTTTTAATGGCATGTTATCACACTTGGTCAAGTCCTTGAATTTGGTCATGAAGATTGGGCTGGCCTTCCTACTATTTTGAATAATGTAGGTTGTGTTGCACTCTCCTTCCGTACCATTCTGCAAAAAATGAATAAATAAAATAATACAGACAGGTTCCTATGGAGCTCATTCTTCCTGCTGTGCAATTGCCTAAAAATAATCTCAGTCTAATACGTGCCTTTAATCAACCTCTCAATTTTTTACTTTTTCTTACACACATTTCTTGTCAAAGACTCAGACATGGGCTTCTGCTGAAAGATCACTGGCAAACCCCGACAGACTTCAGTCAAGTCCTGACTTGTCCCACTGGGAAGTTCCTGATTCATTTCCAATTAGAGCTTATAGTATATGAAGCATAATTTGAAAATTTTAATAAAAAATGTGGTGCAATAATTTGATCAGTCAGAATTAAACCTCAAAAGCAAGAGATTTCAGAGCTGGGGCTGGCACTTTGCCCCTAAAAAATCCCATTACACCTAATCTACAACTCACACATTCCTGCGTTAGAAGCCTTAGAATTATAGATGGGCAGATGTGCTATAAAAGTGACAATAATTAAGTACAGTTGAAGAGATGAGGAACCTTAACTTTCTTTCTCACATTAGCAAGTTTCACTCAGATCTATAACATTAAAACACGATTTTGTATTCATCAGAAGTGCAATCTTCGTGTATGCTTAGAAAGTTTCTGCTAAGTTTAAAAACTGATTTTTTTTCCTTCCAGGGTGTTTCAAGTCTGGAGTCTTCCATATGCCTTCTGCTGCCCATTAGTTAATGAGCTAGTGTGCAGCACTCCAACTCTTGTCAGTACTGAACCCAGCATAATGAGGGCTCATAATGAAGAGTTTGCCTTGAAAGAACACTTTGGTACTTTTATAACACCATCAGTTCAAACAGCTCCAACAGTGGTACTTGTACTTCTCCTGGCCTTCCCAAGATTACCTAAATTGGTCTTCTGTTTTCCCAAAGAGCTGCTGCCAGGTTGGCAAGGGCCCCTTAGCAACCCTTCCTCCATTTTGAAAAAAAAATAGTTTGTGGAGGGTAGCAGAACTGTTCACTTTGCTCCTGGCCACCTCCAGGACAGGGGAGCAAGTGAGCAGCTCTTGCTGTTGAGGTGTCATGATTGGCTCAAGCCTCCAAAGAGCAACAGCTAATTGGGTGGGTTCCTTGCTTCTCTTTTTTTCTGAGAGAAGTCGTTCAAATTAAAATGGCACACAGCTGTAACCTTGTTAGTTGGTCCCTTCTTTGTCTCACGTACATGCTGCTGCAGATATCACGGAGGACTGCTTCCACATAGTTCTCTTTCATGACCTGCTACTAACACCACAACTTTCTTACTTCTGCTTAATCTTTTTCTTAGTAGATATAAATGATAATAGGCTAGATAAATCTGATGTCATGAAACATTGAATGTAATCAAAACTGTACACTGGCTGAGCCCTGATTTAAGGCAGCTTGGCCTTTTTATGGAAGCAATGCTGAAGCAGTTACCTCAGCCTGAAAATTAATACTTTATCTGTAGGATCAAGCCACAAATACCATATAAAGTTTTCTGATGCCTCCTTAAGTCAACTCAAATTGTGAAGAATCAGCATGGATATAAAACCAGGCATAATGTGATCACAAGGAACAGAATATTGGCCATAGTCTCCAAACTAATTTTCTAAATTAAATGTTGATGTTTTAAAATATTTGTTTTCTGTATTAAACTAACTCTGTCTTGAATTTTGCACCAAAAAGAATTTCAAATATTTTCAGCAATCAATGTCTGAATCAAAGTTGGCATAATGAATGTAAATATATAAATGGGAACACAAAATTAATTGCTATCTGTAGTCAAGAATTCAGTACAAGCATATTACAATTGAACAAGGTGTGCTCCTAACACCAGGCTTATTCTGCAAGTCAGTTTAAGCCCAGCTTGATTTATTCTGTAGGACATTATGGACAAGATCCAATGATGTTTTTCTGCCAGAATTAGCACCCTCAATTCCTGAAGTTCTCAAAACAATCCAGAAACCTGCTCCTGAAGGCCAAGAAACCCTCTGGAGCAGTTTTTTTGGTACCACCAAGATCTGCAGCAACAAAGGAAGAGGGAGAATCTCCTGATTATGATGACACTGGATATGGAATTATGGATATAATGTAGCCACTTCTTAGTGAAACTCAGGTAGTGAAGAGTTTCACATGGCATGCAAGTTAGCAGATTGCTGGGGTCAGAAATATCTTATACTAGAGCTAATTCTAAGATACACACAATAACATTATCTAAGCTCCTCAAAGAAAGTACTGCTGCTCTTTTCTTCTTTCTAACTTGTTCAAACTCCATCTCAACAAATAGCCAGCCCAGAAACTCTACAGATATTCTATTGAGGGGCACCACAAGTCAGATTCCTTGTTTGTTCTGCCAGCAGTATTGACATCATTGAGATAAATTGTCCTGCCTTCAGTTGTGCATGCAAAATCTCTGAAAATGTATATGAAGAAAAAGCAGTACATTAGCACTAAAGACACACTTCAAGACTGAGTTAAGTACACTTGGGCTACAGTCCTGTACATGCATACCTAGCAGTAATTCCCATCAAATATCATACATTTGTGCTGTTAATCTTCTTTGATTTCCATGCTGCTTGAAAAGCATATTGCGCCTTTTGATTTTGGTCTGCATCAGAACTTAGGAAGTAATTTATTTCATTGAATTAGTTACAGTGGCTGGAATACTGCTGGTGTTTTGATAAAGTCTGCAAAACCTTTTGTGGCTAATTGGTCCTATGTGGGGGTGCATCTTGGTTGTGCAGTTGGGCACATGACCAGGTACATGACTGCGTTGTCAATTCAGCATCTTGTCAATTAGCTGTAAGTAGACTTGGCAAGTTACACAACTGTGATTTAAACATTAGTAGGATACAGGGTAGTGTTTGAAATATAACCCATTGCCATTAGTTTTTGAAAGTGTTGAAAAAGTAATTTGTTATGCTTATTACTTTTTTCTCATTTTCTATACATATTTTTTTAAAAGAGGATGGTAAGACAATTTCTGTCAAAATGTCCCTAAAATGCACCAAAATGCCCTTTCAAAATAATTTAAATTTACCTTGAAAAGGTTACTTGAAAATGCAGCTACACAGGAACACACTCCTATTCCTTATGTTAGTTTTGAAAAGTAGCTTTGTTATGTTCTTATTACTCCACAAAGTAATGAATTACATTGCTCTGAATGTGGTACTTCCAGTCTCTGCTCTGAATGTATTACATCCCTTGATGGTGCAATCTGGAATTGTTTTCCAGATGCTGATTGTGATAACAAAGTACTGAATTTTATGGGATTACAGCCTGAAAGGACTGCCCTAATCCCAACAAGGCAACTGGAAATTGAGCGTTGTTGAAACATTGCTGGCACCTCAGTCACAGATGTGTACATTGGCAACTATTACCTGGCTCACCAAGTCTGCAGTCAAGGGATTGCAGCTTATAAACAGAACATACAGCCATAAGTGGTCCATATGATAAGAGGGAAAACAAAAAAGAATAAAGCCGCATAATTACTAAAATCTAGAGTTTACCTCTCTTGAAACATAGTATGTCTGGTTAGCCTTCAGGTTGTAGTCTAGTAAATTCAAAATTCCCTTGTAGAAGTTAAGGGCAAATGTTGAGACTTGATCTGGAGCCATGAGATCAGTAACACGGCCATTCTTGTATTTAAATGTGATCGCATCCTTGATCTGTGCCTTATAGATCTCTGTCAATCTGGGGCACTGAATGAAGTGCTGCTTGGGAAATATGCCATTGTGGTCAAACCCTTCAAATGAGTGAGCCTGCCGGACAAACAACAAACAAATACAAAGAGTAATTTTCCTGTTAATTCTTCCTTTCCTCAAAATATCTGTATAGGTGCTTGAATGTTTATCATTTGGATTTTAAAAGGAAAAGAAAAAAAAGATGTGTTCTTGTTTAGACTTCTTGAATACACATAAAATTCTACTTTTATCCTTGTGTTTTACCTTTAATAACTGTACCTTAAGACATGTTATTTGTAATAAAAAAATGGAACAGGAGGGAAAAGAAACTCTATTAAAGATCTGAAGTTTCTTCATATAATGTGCATCTCCCATAAATTATCTCTCTGTCTAAAAGGAATGAGAGAACAAGTGAAACAGAAAAGATAATATTTGATCATATGTCAATTTGAATCATGTGTGTTATTGACACTATTTCAGAACTAATCCGTATTATGTTTTTCCTAACCTCCAAGATATACACTTGGCTTGTCAGGAAGACAGTACACAGTGACTTTGGACTGTCTCTGCTAATTTATAAAGCCAATTCTATGGTCATCGTACATCCACTTAGTAGTTCAAACTAGAATAGACCCATTAAGTCCATTGAATGTACAGAACTTAAGTGTTGTCTCATCACTCAACAATTGATTCAGTAGCTGTGCTCTACTTGGGACTAGCAATTGGACCTGATACACTATAATTTAGAAACAACTACAGATTGTACAGGTGTGGACACAATAGTCTGGGTTTTTAATCTATAATTCAGCAAGCCAGTAATGAGTGTGGAGTCTACATACTCCTCTCTTGACCCTACCCTGCTTGCCTCATGTATTGGCTTGGACATTTCCACCATGGCCTGTTTAACTACAGTTCTTCAAGCCTGAAGAGGGGAGCAGTTGTTTACTCCCAAGCTGTTCAAGCAACAGGCCTTCTGGCAATGAGTGACTGACTGTTAGGGGCAGGTCAATGAGTTATTGTGAAACTTATCATGAGGAAAAGCATCAAATACATTAGCACTCCATGAGCAGTGTTTTTACATTACATCTGTCTATATTTTACTATAGCTGGCTCAGTGAGTTAGGTATCTGGCAGTGGAGCCAGAAGTTAGGAGTTCAATTCTTCACTAAGCCTCCCGAGAGAAAAGCCAGCCTATGCAGCCTTCAGAAAGCTGCATAGTCTTGAACGACATCCAGAAAGGAGTGATAAACTGTTTCTGTCCTCAGGCTAGAGCAGGCTTTCATACATTTCAGACCTGTTTTTGTGTGCCCATAATGGAAGTGTTGCTAGCACAACAGTATCATGGTTGGCACAACCAAAAGACAAGTTTACCTGTTGCTCTATGGGGAGTCTTTTCCTACTTTTCTGCCTTCCATTTAAATAGCCACATGACTTTTTAAAAGTGCCAATGGAGATCTTTAAGCTAAGTGGAACACAAGTCTTCGCTTCTAATCTGCAGGTATTGAAATGGTGGTATATATTGAATTATGAAAAATTTGTAATGTTCCTCAGCTTTGTGCAAACTGTTGATGTACCAGTTAACAAAAAACATCCAATTACACAATTTCAGGTGCAACAGATTGAGAACAATTGAACTGATCTAGCAATAGGATCTGAAATGAAACCCTATTGTCTTCCTGCCCACAAAGAAGAACAAAACCTTGAAGCCTGCGGTTGGCTTCAGCCTAGTGAAAAGTATCTTCTCTAGTGTGAAAGGAATTCAGGCTACTGCATGAAAAAATTGTGGTTGAATTCTACATGCATTGTGAAAGTGTGCCTCCAAATATAGTTATCCCCTCCCCACAAAAACCCTTAAAGTATCACAGAAAAAGGGAAAAATTCATATCGGACTGATTATCTTACCAACAAAATCTTGCGATCTGGACCAATATTGCCTATGACCAGCTTACATTTGACTTTTATTCCAGCACTTGCAAATCCTTCTTTTTGAAGTCTATTCAGAATTTGATATTCATAATCATAACTGTCAGCATTAGCAGGGATTTCTGGGGAGAAAATACAAACAAGAAATATGATATGCTATTAAGCATATCTAAACTGTGAAAAATCTTTCCAAACTGAACACATTTCTTATTTTATTTCTTCAGAAGGATTAATGGGAAAATACATACGTTGTTCTTGTTGCTGGCAACCTGTAAGATAAAAATAGAAATTAATATATTAAAAATATATTTATTAAAGTGAAAATTTATTTAAATTTCCTTTGGAGTACAAGATATATAATATTTTTTAAAATGTTGCTTTATTCTGACAGAGCTTTCAAATATTCCCTGATCTTAATTTGCTAGGATTCCTCCATAATTTAGGGTTTTTTTTTCAGGGGGGGGGGAATCTTAGAAACATACCATGGCTCAAACATAGTTATGACCACAAACTACTTTAGATTTTATTTGAAGATATCTTATTTGCTTTGTGATAGATAATAAGCACCTACTTACTTTGTGATATATAATAGGCACTTAATTTGCTTTGTGATAGATAATGAGCACTTACCCACAAGGGTTAACAGCAGTGCTAGAATTACGACCTTCATCATGGAGAGGGAAGGTAAAGCTGAATGGGCTAGTGGGAGCTCTTTTTATAGAGCCGTATTCAATCACATGTGCATTTTGGAAACCTTCCTGATGAAACAGCAAATTTCAAGTTCACTGTTGACTGACCAAATGATCAATCATTTCTTGGGTCAGAATACTGCAAAATCATCAGGTGCTTTTGGCCCAATATATAACTGACATAAGCGAAGAAAGCAAAATTTGAAATTATGGTAAATCATGATTCTTGTAAAAAAATGAGTTCAGGCAAGAAGTTCTGAGACTTAAGAAAAACAGAGAACTGCCTCATTTAATTTACTGTCATTTGTTTTGCTGGATAGACGCTGGTGTCAGTTATCAAAAGATGTCATTTATACCACGTGTATAACTTTCTGGGTGACTTCCTTATAGTCTAAGACAGGGCAGAACCTCAGATGTATAGCCTGAGAAAGTAATTTTCTGGATTACATCTCCCATAGATCAGGGAATTCAAGAAATTGAGAGATTTAGAAGCTCAAACATTCTTAAGCTTTCTGGTGGCTACTTTCAGTGTATACTGTATAGCTGAACAGAGATAACATAAAATCGTAGAATTAGAGAATAATTGAGTCGGAAGATGCCTACAAGGTCTCTCAAATCCAACCCCTTGCTCAACACAGGAATCCAAATAAAAGGATATCTGCCAGGTGGTTGTCTAAATTTCTCTTGAATGCCTCCAGTGTTGGAGTACTCACCAGTTCTCAAGGTAATTGGTTCCATTGCCATACTGCTCTAACAGTTAGGAAATTTTTCCTGATATTCAGCTGAAATCTAGCTTCCTGTAGCTTGAGCCTATTATTATGTGTCCTGTACTGTGGGATGATTGAGAACAGATCATTTCCCTCAGTATGATAGCCTTTCAAGTATTTGAAAAGTGCTATAATATCTCCCCTCAGTCTTCTTTTCTCAAGGCTAAACATGCCCACTTCTTTTACTCTTTCTTTGTAGGGCTTCATTTCTAGTCCTCTGATCATCCTTGTTACATCGTTATGTTAACAAGGAGGGGAAAATGTGTGTTTTTTTGGTCACATTTCATCCAATGATTCACATGGTTGTCCCATCTTACAATTAGAGCTGTTCACCATTTGTGGCATAACAGCTATAAGGGACTTTTATTATAGGCATCTCCACAGATCAAGATATCAAGATAATACAAAAGATGCATTTTGGGATAAAATATATGTGGAATGTTGTAGTTGTGAGGAAAAAAGGCATTTTAAATTTGAAGATGAAAATGGAAAGGGGGTGGAATGGATGTGCAAATGAACACATATAAGAACACCACTTACCGACTGGCAACAGACTCATCTGTATGTACTTACCTTCCTGAGGTGATCTGCATGAAGAAACCTATGACTAAATCTATGCTTGATAGTACTGAACACACCTGAGTATTTTTAACCAACAACCTAAAAACAATGTAGAATAACAAGGGTAGCCTGGAGAGAGCACATGTAGGAGATGAAACCTACATTTACATTACAAGCATGCAGTGATTGATTTTCAGACATTCAACCTCTAGAGGTACTTTGATGCTATCTGTTTAAAAGGCAACACATCACATAGGTCAATATTACTAATTTTAACACATTCACTTTTACCCTACAATATTTTAAATAGAAGATACACATTAATATCTTGCCACAGACTTTCCTTGCATAATAGCAAAGTCAATGTAACAATAATGTCAATTTTAATTGATAGTGTTTTATACAAAACAATCCAATTCACATTTCCTGGATGAATACACAGTCGTCACACTTCTATCATTTAAAGCCAAGTCTCAGCTCAAAAGGACCATCAATATTGTGTTTAAAATATATATAAACTTAAAGTGCAAATACGAGTGTAACTTTTGGGTGAAAGCCAGGACAAAAAAAAGTTAATTTTATGGTAAGGTATGTAAAATGTTAATATTCATGCAATTAAAAAAACCCAACACAAAACAGGGAGGAATGGGGTTTGGAAGGAACTTGCACAAATCGGACATGGATTGGGCATAGATTGATCTTTCCATCTCTATTTGAAATGAAAATGCTCCTTGTTCAAAAGATAGGTAGACAAAGAAGAAAGTTTTTCAAGCTGCTGATTCATTTCGCATATGAAGGATAAAAGAAAACTCAGTGGGTTTCAGAAGCCCTTGCTTGTGAACTTATTTATTGGAGGGCCTAACAAGCAGCTGTTTCTCCTCTATAATGATATTATTCCATTTACTTGGAGTTGTGTCACCTAGCTACAGGAATAATGAAGGTTATTATTGCTGTGCCAGTTCACCTGAGTTCTGCTGAGAGCATGAAGCAAGTCAGCTATACAAAAGAAAAGGATGCAGATTTGCAGTGTATAATCAAGAGTGCTACTCAGCTTAGCAAAAGCCATGCTTTTAAAGTGCTGCTCATGGAGGGGGTCAAAGAATAAAAGGGAAAGGGGTGATAGCATTGAAGAAAGCTTGAGGACAAGGCCAGGAAATGTGTAGTTCTCCAGTACATCTCTCATCACCCCCAGCCTGCACTGCCGAGGGTGAATGACAATAGTTTTTGCAGTCTAATGGCTTCTACAGGGTCACACATTCCCCATCCTTTCTTTAGCTTTAAGAAGCATCCAAAATTAAAGTGGCCAAAATTAATTCAATATCAGTTTTTCGTTCTGCATTTGTGAACAATTGTTGTGTGTTTTGTAGATATTCTTCTTACGTCCTAATATTATTCTTAATTATTTGTTCTGTAGGTGGCTCATTATCAAAGTTAGAATCCATACAGCCTGTTTTGGGGGAAATGCACTTGGTTCCCTGCTTGGTCCACAAGCAAACTCTGATTTTAAAAAAAGACTCCTTATAGGGAATCAGACCCTTGGCTCCTCTTGACCAGCACTGTCAACTCTGACTATTAGTAGGTTTTGAGGATTCTTTCCTATCTGGAGATCCCTGATATTCCCCAAGGATGGTCTCCCATCCAAGAACCAGTCAACCACAACCCCGGTTAGATTCCAAAAATAGAGAATGCATGTTTGCATGAAATGTTGTCTTGACAGTATGGCAAGGTTATGTATTTGTAAGGGAAATAATAATGTGTGTAAAAGGAAAAGAAAAATATCCTAATGTTAACAGCTCAAATGATAAGAAGGTTGTCATTTCAGACACCCAGGAGTCATTAATCTAGTCTAAGATACACAACAAATGTCATGATGCCATTGACTTCTGAAATATATGGAGCCGGCAAGTGGTGATGGGGCAGAAAGAAAGCTGAGAAGAAGGAGGAGGGTTAATGAGAAGAAAAGGAGAGCAGAAGGCCTTTACCTGTGCTTGAATTCAAGCTGCCAGGATTAGTTTGTGAGACATAACAGTGGAGTGACTGTATGGGTTTTGGGGGAAGGGAGTATGTCTGATGGACCTGTTGGGCTTTTCAGCAGCTGGACTTGAACAAAAAGCAGTGCTTCTGCTGATTGGGTCCAGAGTACCTGAGAACAAAACAAAATCCAGGGAAGAGAATCTTTCTGGACATGGTTTCCGCCCATATATTTTCAAGAGTTGTTGTCAAAAACAGGAGATTTCTCATTGATTGGAGGAGGGCAGTGAATCTGCAGAAGATTCCTGTGTAGAATTTATGGAATATAAGTACAATAGGGCACAGAAAAGAGCTGATGACAACTTGCTCACAGGAGAATCCCAGGGAAGGAAGAAAAAAAGGCAGAAAAATCTCAGAGAGAGCTGATTCTACACTTCTTCCAGTAACACTGTCAGCTTTGTTGTTTTTGTGCATGTTGTGTTTTCTACTTGGAACATTCATCCCTTCTTTCTGGATTGAGTGCATAGTGGATATGTTTACTGTTCTGAGAGATATTGATTTGCTCCATGTATTATGAATATATTATATGAGATGGATAAGCCATTTACAAGGAATCCGTTGTTTTTTTTCTAGACAACAGAAACTAAGCTTCTGAATGTATGAAATAAAATAAAATAGAAAAATAATGAATAGGGAACTTCACATCTCCACAGTAAAGAACTTAATTTGCAGAAAAATTTGCCACATGGAATTTCAATGCACGGAGGGTAGAGTAAGAGAGAACATGATCCCTGTTTATGCTTATGAGGGCTGCAATGAGATAAGGGAGGATTCTTTGAATGTGTGTGAAACTCGGTCCATAAATGAAACATGAATGTGGCCTAATTAACCTAACAAGAATGATCACTTTCTCTTCTTTTGTTGCCCCAAAACATATTCCCCTTCTCTGGTAACAGGAGCCTTATTATTTTCTGCTGGACCGCTGCTGATAGTCTCACTGTCTCCTTGTTGTATATTCATGTTGGTAAGTTATGGTGCAGTGAGACCATTTTCATACTGTTAATATGCTGTCCAACAACAAAGCAAGGATTAGCAAAACAGCTCTCAGGGAATAGAAATATGCTCACATGGATACAGATAGTTTAACATTATGAGCTTATTTATCCTGTTCCCAAAGAAAAGTTGAAGCACTGTCTGTTTTTCATATTTTATGCTTAGGTCCTAGAAAATTTGAATTCTTCGGAAGTCATTCTGAAGAAGGATTTGAATGTTCAGCATAGGCCCCTTAGCAGGTTTAAAGAAAGTTGATTATGGGCACAGGAGACATACTGTCAATACTCTTGAGAATGAAGGATTTTATCTGTTGGATTTAGTGAGCAAAATTTGGTTGGATCAAGATGCGTGCTACACTTTACCCTTGTGAAGTGCCTATCAAACAATGGAGTTTATTTTTACCAGCTTAAGGCATCCACCATAATTCAAGGTACCGTATATACATTGAAAAATACGGTATATTGTGACCTTGCTTCCATCTTCATCTTCATCATCATGGTCATAATCCTCTTCAGTTTATTGTGTGCCACTCTTCCTTGGTGAGCCATGTTTGATGCTTTTTGCAAAAACCACATAAAAATATACAGGGTATATCATTATTCGCAAATATTGGGTTTACTCAAGCATGT